TATATAATAATGAAATAAAAAATTTAATTAAAAATATTTTAACGAACAATCGGTTAAGCATAAATTTAATAAAAATTTAAATTCGTGAATCCATAGTCTACTTATTACAAAAAATATACCATTTTTAGCAGTTTTCAAATTAAGCTACATTTTATGTAAGAAACAAGAACTTTTATTTTTTACCTGCATATTGCGGCACTTGCGGCCCCATCTGCTCCTGATGCGGCCCCCAGTTCGGCTGCATTTGCACCGGGGCAGGAGCATATTGAACCACTTGTTGATTTTCGAACGGTACTCGCGAATTGATATTTTGCGTGTTGGGAATCGGCCTCAAAAAATCGGCTTCCCGCTGAGGCATCGCCTGCATCTGAGGCTGAGCCAAAGCTTCTTGTGTTAACTGAGGTCGATAGATTTTTTGTTGCGATAACCCTGGAAGTAGCGGATGGAGCTGTTGCTGCGGAATCTAGAACAAAACATATTAGAAAATTGCCATATTCCTGCAAATTATAAAATTAGGTGTCAAGAACGATGTTGTGAGATTATTTGGCGAGAACACGATGTTTGTAGCGGTTTTGCTTGTGTTGCAATTTTTTGCCTCCGTTTTTGGGGCCAATCGTAAGTAATATTTTTATTAAAAGCGACATTTATGTTAAAAAAAATTAGGCGAGCTGTTACCATCGGCAGCCCCAAACAATTTGACGTTATTAGAAATCCAAAAACGGCAAGTTTTGATCGAGTGGGACCCCATTGACCCTGAAACAGTCCGTGGAAATTTCAAAGGGTATTTAGTCCGGACCTGGAACCACGCCGGAAGTCTAGTTTACGCATTTCCCCCTGACGTAACAAGGGCCAATATTGACTTTTTTCCATTTTCGAAGAACTTCATAACGGTTTCCGTCCGTAATGAGAAATACGTGGGGCCCCCGAGTGACGCAATCAGTTTCGATGCTCCTCAGCGAGGTACAGCCCCACCCCCTGAAGACGACATTTACGTCGAAACGTCCGTCTTGATTTAAATAAAATTTTTGCAGAACCCCAAAGTCCCCCAACTCTCCATATTTTTACTTTAAGTAATAAATCGGTTTTGATTCGGTGGAGTAAACCTAACCAACCTAACGGGATCCTCCTAGGTTATAAAATCTATTGTCGCGAAATAGATGAATCGTTCCCAGAAACCAAGAGGGAAGCCTCTCATCAAATCAATGATCCGGACAAATTTCAAGCTAAATTAACTGGACTGGAAGAAGGAGTAAAATACCAGATCGGCGTTTCTGCTGTTAACTGTGCCGGAGAGAGCGATGTGTACAAAACTGTTTAATTTTTAAACGCGAAAATAGTTTGAATTTTTTAGAACAACTGCAGGTATTGTCTTAGGAGCCCACACCCCGGTCGAACCTTTCCCGTCAAGATTTGTGTACAAAACTAATTATTCGACGCTAAACAGGGATGAAATGTGTTACAAAACGGCTTCAATCGCTATTCCTACTCAAGAAGTCGAGGAAGGGGATGATTATGACGATTATTTGCTTTATAATAACACCAATTTTCATAAAGAAGTAACCCCCAATCCTGTGAAAAGCGACTACGAGAAAAATTGTTTGGTCGATTGTCTAGTGTTGTGGATGCCTGACGTCAGTAATAATCCGGGTGAATATTTTTATTTGAAATATAGAGTGAAGGGTGAAACGGAATATATGATCACGGAACCGGAAATGAGTGAAGATTTTATTTTATTACACAATTTTGACGCTTGTAAGAAATATGAAATGATTATAGTTGCAGTTGATGGTGATTTCAGTACTGAAAGCGGAACCGTGTTTACTCCCCCAAAATTGTATTCAAATATTTTATAACTAATAATAAATTTAGAGTTGTGAAATAGATAAATTTCTTTTTTATTTTAATTATTTAGCCAACAATTTATGATTCTATGAGTATTTATGTAATATTTTTCAAGAAGATTATTACGCAGTAAATAATAACAATGTTTAAAGATATACGTTGTGTAATTTTTCTTACATTGGGGTCATATCTGGCGGGTTGGATCGGATTATTGAGATGGACTGGTGCTGGTTGTGACGTTGTGGGAGAATCCGGACAGCCCAATTCCGGTGCTTCGTCGCTTCCATCGGCACATTGAGGAATACCGTCACAAGCGTTGTAAATTGCAATACATTCGCTGGTGGATCGGCATTCAAATTGATATCGGCTGCATTTCCGAGCTGTAAAAACACACATTTCAAGGTTTGAAATGGCGAAACAGTGATTACTATCAATGATGTGCCGTTTCCGGGAATTTTTTCCGGTTTAAGTGATGGAATCTATCCGGACAAGCGTGATGTAAATGTTTTTCTAGCGGAGTTTATAACAAGAATGTAAATGTTTGAGTTACTATAACAGAATTTTACACCTCATATGTAAAAAATACATGTAAAGTTAGTTTTTATTTTGGTGAGGTTTAATTGAAACGTTGAATTGCAAAAAACTAAAAATGAGAATTTTTTTTTCTTTACTGCTACTTCAAAATTTCTATTCCAACTTTTATTTTGGTTATTCAAAGTGATCCTCAATGAATGTGTCTGTTGGCAATCCTGACTCAAATTTTTAAAGCTTACCATTAGAGTACGCTTTTGATTAACAACAATTCAACAATCTTGAGGGATTGTACGTCAGGTATTTGTTAAGCAAAACCGTATCCCGTTGCAGTGTTTCAAATTATTAACAAAAATACTTTCAAATCTGTTACCAACAGACTCAGTCTTTCTGGATCACTTCGTACTTTTTATTCAAAGCTGAAATTTTATTATGGTACAATTTTTTAGGAAGCTATCAAATATTTCCATTTTTTTAGGAACGTTTTTACATACATATTTTTATTGCACTGTATCGACTATACCGGGTGGGGCATCGTTTACGCGCACTTGATAAATCGCGACTTCAAATTGATTAAAACTGGCGATATTTCATATACCTAACTAATTGTTGATAGGGTATAATTTGAGGATTTTTCTAATTTTTTTGGATAATAAATGAGTCCGTAACTGTTTTATGTGTTTTATGAATACTTTCTGTTAATTTACCTATAAAGTTTTTACACTAAATGAATCTGTACCTGTCAGCGCATCAAACTTTTATATCACAATTTCAAATTTTGACTTCGTTAACCAAATAATCGCTTTTTTTATATTAACACAAACCAGACGCGAGATTTATGACAAAATGGTATAATTTGCCAACAAAAGAATCATTTACTGGTAGCCGACCGCTTTAAAGGGTCTTTTTGTTGGAATCTTACCCTAATTGCAGTTCCTTATTGTCACGTAAATTTACGGCAAAGCTTATAAATAATTTTAGCTGAGTTGGCCCCATAGGTATGTACATATTTACCGTTAATTGTTTCCGTAAGGAGCGTTGTTTTTGTATAATGTGTATCTATAAGTCTCCAAATTAAAATTTTATTTAGATTTATTAAAATCCAATTAATGTCACGTGTTTGTTTTGATTTCAGATTATTTAATATTGCAGCAATATAAAAAACGAATGCATTATAAATAATTACGAGTATTAAGTTAATCAGTGTTTTGGAATCGCGCCGGTTACTTAATTAAAATGTAAAAACATTTCTTTTCTTTCCTGTTATCTTGTTAGCAGAAGCATTCAAAGACGTCACGTTTTATTAAATTCAAGTAGGTGGAAGATATTTTTAAATTTAAATTGACCATTTCCTGCAATTTGCAACGAATTAGAAAAATAACGACGTTCTAAATTACAGTCTAATTTATTAACTGAACGGTTTTACCAAAACAGCTGTAACCAGTTTAAACAATTTTAAAGACAATTGCTTTGCATAATGGAAAAATTGGCCACCCAACGTTTTTCTAATATTGACAGAAATTCTCTAAGGACTCCAGGTGTGTCGGAGGAAGAAAGTATTATTGTTTGATGTTAAAAGGTGTTGTATAATGTAATAGTTTCTTAACGGTTCAAGTTCAGGTGTTTGTATAACTCGAGGTACAAGATGCGACCTATAGCCCGGAGCTGTTTCTGATGATGCTTCCTTAGCAGTCAATCCGGTTCGAGTCCGGTTGGGTTACGGAACATGAGTTGTATGGGCATGAAATGCGTAGACGAGGTCAGAATACTTTCATTTCGACAAAGAAAATTTGTTTAAAATGATTTTTTTATTTCACTACATTTGCGAGATTTGTTGATGTTTAGCGTAAATAGTGAAATCTGGAAAAAAATAATTAACAGTTTTTGCACTTAACGACCGAAACTTTCTTTATACCTACATCGTGAGCTATTAGATAAAATTGTGTGTAATGAAGATGTGCAAGAAATTGATTTCTTGTTATTTTTATTACTTGTGATTTAGAAGGGAAAGTGTTGCGATTGGTCTTTAATTATGATTATTTCATTTCTTGTTCAAATGAGTTTAAATCAGAAATAAAAACGTGGTCTTATCTGTCCATTCTATTTCCCACTTGCAATTAAAATTACTCAAAGTAACGTCAAAAATGTAGTAATAAATTCATTGTACCATTTACAATTACAAATTATTTCCGGTCAAATCTGTAACGTACTAACCCAAGTTTGTTCGCATTTTTTTGGGAAACAGTTCAATCTCAGCGAGGAATCTTAACTTTGTGCCCTAAAAATCGTAAGAAGCATCCTTTGAGACGTAGTTATCAGTGTGAAACAGAAATTGGACCCAATTCATCTCCAACATCCGTTGATTGCATTTGCCATGCACTACTTATAAAATGTCACATCTTCGATTATAATTTCTGACAATAGTTCACACCGTTTTCCAACTCCGTAAACAATCTTTTTGTAAAGTTTTATTCAATTATGAAAGATGTCATGCATTCCTTTTCACTATTACCGCATCCATTTCTCTTGGAAGCGTCGTTCCCGCACTAATTGCTGATTTAATTAATAACAATTTCTAATTGTTCCGAAGAAAATAAACACCACTCTTACTAGTTTTAAATCATAACTGTTTTACATAAAATACCGATGATTGATTCCTTGACCGCTAGGTCTCTCTCTGCCCGCATTTCTTGTTTTTCTCTCTCCAGTACCTCTTGGAAATATTCGCGACAACACCAAGACCATCGCAGTTATTCTTTTACTGTCTCACAGCTGGTTCTCACCGAGTGCTCTGTGATTTGTGACATTGTGCTTTTCTAAAGAATTATGGCTTCGAAGTTGAGAAGGCCACCCCTGTTCCCCTACAACGACACCAGTGTCTTTATGCCACAAGGGTTCACCCACGACGCAGTAAGTCGACAAAATTCGATTTTTGATTTTCTGGTTGTGACATTCAAGAATTATTACTCTTTATCTCAAAAACTCTTGAAGTGGATGGAATTTTTTTGCTTTTTGTTTAATTTTTTTTCAATTTATTATTACTTTTTAACTTTACAATTTATACAAAAATTCATTAATTTTATAAATAAAACCTGCTATAAATCATATTAGAAAAATTACTTAATTTTTTTTCAAAATAAATAAATGGTAATAAAAGATTTTTAAAATTATTAGTTTTTTAGTCCATTAAATTAACGAAATATTCACTTTTGTTGGCTTTTATATAAAAAGAAATCTTTAAAGAGATTTTTATATATATTTGATTTTTTTAGCTGGCGTTTAGGACTGAATAAAACAATAAATTTTTGGGTAACGTTTCAGAATTGTTAATTTCTTCATCAGGTCTATAAATATGAATTAGGAATTAACCAGACGTGTATTATACTTGTAATTTTCAGACGACCTTTGGGAACGATTTGTTCTTTCATCAGGCCTAAAAATAGGAATAAGGATTCAAAAATTAGGTAACCAAACCTATTTGTAGGTCTGATAAACAAATGAACCGATCCAAAACGTCCTCTAAAAATTAATTTTTTTATTCAATTCCAAACATCAAAGAAAAAAGTAGAAGCTTTCGACTTTACGACATTTTAGGTTTCACATTCTAAAAATGTTTTCAATTTTGTTTTGTCGAAAGAATAATATACAAGACGATCCAAAAATGCCCTGACAGCTATCTGTGTATTACTGATGCAATATAGTGAATGATTTAATGATTGTAATACGAGTAAATTACTTGAAAATAAATATGAAAAATTATTTTCAAAATTTAAAAATTGAAAATTATTATTTTGATTAAATTTTATCGGAGTCTATCATTCAACTAAAACTATGTTTCATATGTTTTCTAAAATTGTCCCACATGAAAATATTTTTCAAAATCATATCTTTACCAGTTTTTAAAATAGAAATTTCATTTTTTCGCATTCATTTCGTGATTAAGTATTTTATTTTTGGCTTGAAACATTTGTTAATTTTTTTTGTTGAAAGTTAAAAATACCAAATCTCTTTAAAAATACCACAATATGAATCCTTGAATTGAATTAATTAAGTTTTAGAGTATCTATATTTCTCTCAAAAATCCTAAAATCTCTATAAAAAAATGTGTTTTATTAAAGTTTCGAATGCATCAGTCCGGAAATTCTGTGCTAACAGAGCTAGATTTTTTTTTATCAATGCCAACAAACCAAAAAAAAAAAACAATAAAGCAGCGTAATCAGTACTTTATTAAGGAAATTAGTTAGTCAAATTAGTTCTGAACACTTCCCGACAAAAGCTTATGTAATATTTGGAGCTAAAACTCTTCCAACTCTTACTTTATTTGCTAATTAGTGTTCTAAATAATTTCTGAATTTTTACTGTCTTACTATTTAGTATTTATGGTCGTACTGAATACACTGTTCTGACACTCCTAAATGGAAAGATTGTGTACAGATTGCTGCCTTTTCCATGTTTCTAATTGGCACTAACAATCCGTTTTTATTGAGAAATAAGAGCAATGAACAATTTCACTTTCTTATTTTCACAATAAACAATTGTATCTATTTGGCAAATTGTATTCTTTAACCCATCATTGTAATGCGTGTGAAGATTTAACTTCAGTTTCGCAAGTTCAACAACTTTATTATTTCTTAAACAGTTTCTTACAAAAAAACAGTTGTTTAAAAATAAACGATGAATGATTTTTTTAATTGGCGAGAGGAGAATTTCCATAAATTTAGTGTCAATACTCTTGAAAAAACGTGTTTTTCCGCCTACAATAATGAGGTTCTTATTCGGGTTCATCAGAATAATAATAGGTTGGGTATGGCAAAAGACTGGTAACGTTTCTGAGCAAAACGGAACTGTCACTTCTTCTATGACAAGACTTTTCTTAATCATAATTCAGGTCAAGGCTTCCAAATCGACAAATTTCGAAACAATCTCACTTTTTGCCATTAACGCCAACGTAATTTAAGTAAACACTGCCATCTCGCCAAATAAATCAAAATGATGGTGTGGGAAAAAATAAAGGTAAAATTATTTGAATAAGAAGCTGAAAAATCTTTTCAGCATAAGAGACATCTGAAATTTTCCGAATTTATGGCTCCGGTATATCAAAGAAAAACAACTTTAATTAAATAAATATAAAACCTAACAAACCGTACACAAATAAGCTTACTTAATGGTTTGTCGTAAATGCAAATTTGAAACTAAAAACAATAAGAAACCGTTACTTTGAAAATTGTCTCAACTCAATCAGATTAGTGAAAACAGCTTGAAAAAAATGTTGTACGTGTCTAGATTTAGATTTTATGTGGGATTTAGACTGGATCACCTCCTCGGGTCGGTATCTTTGTGGGTTTGGTAATTATCAGATGGGATCAAAACTGCCCGAAGCCTAAAAACTACAACGAATTTACTATCGGACTTAATTTAAAAACTGGTCTTTTCCGAAAGATTTTTTCGTTCGAATTCAGTGAATTGTGATTAAGGTCACTGCAGAAGCTGTTAAATTTCGATTAATCCGTGTAATGAATGCACCTGACATTGGAATCGTCGGCTTGTAATAAATTTTCTGAACAATTTAGCCCTCGGTTCTAGAACAGCGATTGTGGAGATTAAACCGCGATAAGATTGTGGGTGTATTGTGGTGATTTCGGCCGAAAGTACGCACTTACCCATGCCTGACTAAAAAATGTGCAACATTTAAATTTTCACGGAAGTTTGTTACGCAAGCGTGAAATACAGATGGAACATTAAAGTTACCGGCCCAAAACAGTCACACTAATGATTACATGATTACTCACCCTCTTCAGAAGGTCTCGTCTTGACTTGGGTCGCGAAGACTTCTTTGGGTTTCGGCGTGGTTGCTGGAAGCGGCGAGGAGGTGGGCCGGGTTTCGGACACTTGAGGGAGCACTTCTGGCTCGCTTTCGGGTTTTCTGCACAAATAAAGTAATTTTCACAGGAAATATGTAATAATAGTTAAGGTTATCAAGTATGAATTGCGTTTAAGGGCTATTGTTTGTATTTTTTCACATGGAGAATTTGTAATGTGACCCCGTTTGACTTTTTCTTTTTGATGTTTTAATGTAGAAAGTTTTAATTATAATATAATAGCTACTCATGCAGATTTTTATACATATTAAAGTACTTCATTAAAAATAAGCATAGACTTATAAAGAAATTAATTATTGCACTCAGTAACTTTGGAATTTGTAACAGCAAAAATTGTTATTTAGTTATGGTTTCCAAATTTTCGAATAATTTCCTGAGAAATTCAAAAAAAGAAATCTCTTGCATTCAGACAAATAATAGTTAATTAATAATACCACTGGCTTATTGGTTAATAAATGTGATGTATTTATAGATTATTATTTAATTTTCAAATTCAGAGTTTTTACCAGGTACACTTAAAAGAGTTTTTATAAATCTATTTTTGTGGATCATTTTTTTGTACCTACTAATCTCAATTTTGATATAATTTTTAGTTATTTAATAAAAAGTCAATCTACACCCAAATTGTTTTTGGGTTTAATTTGCACTTCCTGTAGCTTCTGTATAAAAAAAAATGTTTTTTGCACATTTTCATATTTAACTATTATTTTCATTTATTTTAGAATTGTGCAGCTAGATGTTCTTTAGTTAATTTTTTCAACAAAATAGTTATTTTTTATATACGATCTCGAACATAGCTGTTTTAGCGACTTATTTGAGTGCCTGAAATGAGTCTTTTTCGGACTCAATAAAATAGTTATTATAGGTACTCAATCACGAAAAACAGTTTTTCCGGACGAAAAGTCAATTTGATAACTATGGTGGCGAATTTTTTTTAATTAATAAAAATTGTGAATTCGTTTTTTGGGAGCTTTACCAAAAAAATTTTGTTTCTAACACGTACCTAAAACGTTTTTGCGGACTCATCTGCTATTCCAGACTCGGCTTCGCCTCGTCCGAAAACAGCAACGATTCGTTCGTAAAAACCGTATTTTATGGTACTTGTAACAAAAATATCTATTTTGAGACTGAATCTAGGTTTTTTCGGCTCTTGTTACATTCAATGCAAGACATGATTATTTTATTTTCTTAGAATAGTTAGAAATATGTAGTAGAACACAATCACTATTGTGAAATTTTACACTTAATATACACCAACTATTAGTGCCAGGTGGTGCTGGGAGAACTACCCTTCAATAACATGAGAATATAAACTAAAGAAGGACACATACAGGGTGCGCCAGAACTCGCGCCCCAGAGAAAAATGCCATATAAGATAAGATAACAGGAACATGAAAAAAATGTTTAAAAAATTTTATCAGTAAAAATTTCGAAGTTATGAGAGTTTAAATTTTGCACCTTGACTATATTTATTTCTGTTGGAAAAATTATTTTCGAAGTTTTTTGCTACAGGCTATTAGAAGAGGAAACAAGGAAGTTGTATCCTAAATTGCAACTCTGTTCAATGTTATTTGTGGCTTTCATTGGCAAATTTTTTGTACCTTTACTAAATAATTGTAAAAAAAAACATATACAAGATCAACAGTATAATTAAATAGACATAAAAAATGTCTAATGTCAAAAAATAAATGTCAAAATTTTTTGACAGATAAAATTTTTTAAACATTCTTTTCATGATCCTGGTACCTTATCTTACTTGAAAATTTTCTCTGGAGCGCGAGTTCTGACGCACCCCGTATATGTTACTTTCTTTGTTTTGAAGTGCCCTTCTTTCCAAATAAATTACCGTCAGTCTCTCAACTCGTTTATTTGTATTTTTTGGAGAGTTTACCTCAGTTTGCTCAAATCCTGTTCGTGTTTGGTTAGTTTTATCTGACTTTCAAGATCTGGTAGGTGTCGATTGATGGCCAAAACTGCACTGGAATAGTTGGCATGGTGTGTAAATTTACATTTAAAATCTTCCGGTGGGCCGCAATGAAACAAATAGCAGCTTCCAGAATTCTGCAAATAGAAAGCTAATTCATATTCATAATTTCCCATACGTGGACTAATAAATCAAATTTGAGACAATAGAGAAAAATTACCTTCTCTTCAAAAACGAAAACATCACAATCGTCTGTTTCACAACACAGCCTCAAACATTCTCCTCTCGTTCCCAGATCGATCTCTGTTAAATATTTCGCACCCATTTTTTGAGAATCTTGAGTACGAATTATCTTGTCTCTGTGTATGTCGAAGTTGTCAATGCAGGTCTGTAGGTCAATATCTGCACGTTTCATACGCAAAGCACTACAATTGACTAAACTATTTACTAGGACTAACAGTAAAATTGGGGCCACTTTAGAAAACATTGGGGTTGATGGAAATGTGTAAGCTTGTCTAAAAAATTTTGTCATTGCAAACATGGCGGAAAACTACAAGGAATCAGCTGGTGATAATATAAAATCGATCGGAAAATTCACGGCTGCGCAGGGTTTGCTCCAAGCTTTTTCAAAATCTGCATTTTATTTCAGTTTCACTGTGTCAGTTATTTAATATTTTCCTTGGATTGCATAAGCGTGACCATGATTTTGAATTAGGGGGCCTCCTGGCCCTCCCCGTGCGCACGCTAATGGTTGACTTATTTACACATGTTTCAAATAACGAAATGATTATTCTGTGATGCAGCAGATTATTTCAAAGGCATCTGTTTAGTTTTTAAATGTACCAAGGTTAGTTGGATGTTACTAATATAAAAATAATTCAAGTTTTAAATTACCTGTAAATATTTTGTTTTACGTTTAGATAAATGTTTAAAGTTCTAATCAAATCTGGACTTCTCGGCTGCACGATTTAAGAGAATTAAAAAAAATCATTTAACTTTAACTTTTGGAATTTTTAGTTTGTGTATATTATGTTTCAAATTTTGTTCTATTTATGTGTTCATACATTTTAAATCAAATTTTGAACGATTCGGATGCCAATTCTAGTTCATAAAATTATTGAAAATAGGAAAAACAACATTAATTTAATTAAATATTTCAAAATAACGGTACATTTTGCTACATTTCTAATATCTTTATACCTCTTCTGGGTGTGCCGATTTTAATGGCGAGGAGTATATTATCATAAATAGTATTTAATTTAAAATATTATGAATATTTTTTTATATTTTTATAATAATCGTCATTAAATTGTCCTTGAATTTGTATTGCAATGTAAATATTGTAATCGGAATTCGTTAAATTATTACATTGGATGTAAAAGACCATTAATATTTCCGTGTTAATTTATTCATTTAGTATACAAGTGATAATTGTTCACTCATAAGCAATGAAAGTAATAGAATAAAAGACGTATAGAACTATAGAAGACTATTTCACATTACAAATTTATCTTTAACCTGAGCTTTAATCCTAATAAAATTAGATGTTTTATTGCGATGAACAGAAGACATATTATTTCTGTCTAGAAACTTTTAATTATCTTTCTGACAGTGTTGTATTACCTTTGTCTATTTTATTTAATTTTCCTCAATTTCTGATTACAAAAAAGACAATTTCGGTTTTGTCTAATTCAATGTTAAATTGAAATAGCTTTCCCCTCTTCGCACTGTTTCCCAAGTGAAAAAATTTTTTCGCAAGCGTGCCAATCGATGAGATTTTTCAAACAATCATCCAGTGCACCGCGAGAAAATTCCTGCAGCTCTGCTAAGCAGGAACAGGAATATTGCACCGAAATAAACCGAAAAGAAACGACGGGTTTCGTCTCAACTAGCCGCATCATCGCATTTGAACGCAGTCGTTCGTGTGGTTTGCGTACATTTTTAGTATTTCGTACCTTTATTGAACATTTTATGTGTTAGTGTTAGTGATTTTGACAAGAAGAGTGTGCAGATCGGGCGGTGCCTTTGTCCTTTCGGGATTATCATTCATCTACAGTGAGAAAAAAAATGTGAGTGGATTTTTTGCGGTTTCATTGATCCTGAATGGTCCATTGATAATCAAATAATGATTTTTTTCGGTTTGATTGAATTGGGTATTGATCGAAGATGGAAAAAGTTACTATTGTCTTAAATTAATTGAAAATCCTACGGAATAAGTGTCCCGAAATTTCAGATTGTTATGCGTTACACTTTGGTGGATTTGATGCAATTATAATCCGAAATTATTTTGAATAATTACTTTTACTTTTTCAAAAATCAGACGACTAGCTAATTAAGTGAAATTTTTCCATGATTGTTATAATTTCGTTACACGTGTCCCAAATTGTTCTAAATATACGTAAAATTATTTATAAATTTCGCGAGAATCGATATTTTGGCACCGCAATATGATATTTCTGGCATTTAAAAACCAAATGTCACGAAATAGTGTAATTTTATACTAAACGTTTCGACCTCCCACTCAAAACAAATAATTATGGTCAAATTTTTGATCAATTACAACCACAAAGAACGAATAAATAACATTAGCTTCTGACCTTTGAAAAAAAAACTCAATTATTCCTCATTTGGGGTATACCAAATGAAACTTGATAAAATGTGACTCCTGATGAAAGGTTAGCCTCAATGTGTGTTGTCTTTAGAGAGCAAACAAAGTGCTTATATGAACGCAAGCTGTTGAAACTAGGGGTGGTAGTCTTATAATCCCACCCAAGAGCTGTAATAAAACTTTACAATCCTGGGGATTAATTTAAGAAAATATGAAGCACAAACGTGTAAAACTAATTGTCTTGACTTTTTGCCATTTTCCTCCAGGGAAAAATTTCTGGATTCATTTCTTTGAGGAAATTTGCAATGATTACACGTCAGAAACTACTAACTGTGCTTATTCAGTTGCCGGTGAAGGTCTATCCATATTTCATTTTCAACAAAGATAAGATCTGAGAGTCACGCATAAATCTTGGAGAAAAACTATGGGGAAAAAATCGGAAAGTTTTGGATTGTTTCACTAAAACTATTTATTAAACAAAACCAAAAATGATTTAGGGCTGTACATCGGCAGATAAATAAATAACACATTTGATTAACTGTTGATTAGAATTGTAATTAAAAATTGTTAATTATGTGTCGAAGGATGGACATAATTTTGTGTAAGGTTGTTTTACATTATTTATTTCACTATCAATTGTTGGTAATTAGTTCTCGATTTTATCTTCAACATTAATCTTAATAACTCGTGAAGCTTAAAATTCTTAATCATTAATTTAATTAAAAGCTGGAATTTTTGATCATATACCAGGTGATTAAAAAAAGGATTTCCACTCAGTAAATCAACAGGCTTAATTCTATACTCGTAGTAACATGAAAAAAAAAAAAGTTTCTTTTTTTTTTTCATTAAAAAGTTGTTCCAGTCACAAAGAAGCTGAAATGTTTTAAATAATAATTGCAGTCGTCTTTGTTTTACACTTTTTTTATTTATGTCAGATCTAAATCATTTTTATTATAAAATGTTTCAATTTCTAAGCGAGAAAGAGTAAAGCGGTGTCTCGAGCTTTCAATGGAAGCTTTCAGGACACCTTTCACGCATGAATAGATAATCCGTCGTTTTCTGTTTGGCGGTTCATGAGATGGTCATTTTTCTATATTTCACTTCAACTTCCTGTCGTCACTCATCTTGAAATGTAAAAATTGTTCCAAGTTAATTTAAGAGTGAAGAAACGATAATTTCAGTGACTCAACAAACAAATCAGAGTCGTGACGTGACAATACCTTTATTTAGAGCCGTGTTGTATCAACTGAAACAATTCCTCTCTTTAAATAATTTATAATGTTGTAAACAGGCTGGTTAACCGGAGATTAAATTAGATCAAAGCGTGGGTGTGATATATTGAGTCGAATATTTTTCACACATACATTAAGATCATTCCTGACGCAAGTCTCAATAAAACAATACAATTTGCCAGGAATAAAAAATAAATATCTCTGAAAGCAGGTGTTTATATTGGCAATAAACGACGTCAGAGTTCGATGTCGGTTGTAAATTGATTTTTGATATCGGTGATTAGTCAGAGAGTTAGGTGAGGTATATATTGGAAACACTTCCCCCAAAGTTGTGTTTAATTGAGCATTTAATTTTAACCCTGGGTTGTTTGGACTCGTACTATAAATTGCTCTAAAAATATATAACGGGGCCCAGAGGTACACGATCTTAATTAATTTGAGTGTATAAGTTTAATAAGGTTTGTGTGGATTCGCTAATACGAATCTAATTGCAACATTAATGATTTTGCTAGACGAGGAGAGATAGTGGTTTAATATAAGCACCAGGGACGCTCGCCGTGTAAACAGATGGGTCATTATACTCGACTCTTGTCTGAAGGATTATGGAATGGTTACTCGAAGTTAAATAGATGCTCTTATCAGAGAGATGACGCTTAGACATCCATCAGCGAGTTTATCATACGAAGAGATGATTCTATATTATTAAGTAGTACATACAGACTGGGGGAGTTTTCAAGTCTAATTAATTAAGAACAATGTTGAAAATAATTGAATGATAGAGCATTATCGATGAGGGTAGTGTATAATCTTAAAATTGTTAGTTTCATAAAAAAATAAAATCTGGTTAATATCATAAGCAATAAAATGCTATATGTAAAGTTTATGTTTCTTCTAACAAATAATGAAGTCGCTTCTGTGAAAAAAAAATTGACTTCGTTTAAGTACACTACGTACAAAGTGGGAGTTTATTATTCTTCCAAAAATATATTAATTTGAAACTGAGTTTTTCCACGAATTTATTTTTCAGGATTTGTAGATTTTTTGTTATTTTTAAACGAATAGAGATTGAGAAGTTTTCAACTCCTTTTCTTTGAGAAAATGTGTTGAAAATCATATATTTTTTGATCAAAAAAAAGTAATTTTCATAAAATTTCTAGCGAAAAATCAATAAATTACATTTTTTTAAATTAAAAGAATTTTTCAGAATAAACCCTGATTTTAGATCATTTATCATTCAGATTAGGGAGCAGGTTATAAAAATTTTGTGTTGTATCCCTTGTCACTCAAAGTAGAAATTAAAAAAAAAAACACTGGAAGATTCTTTTCATGTCAATATTTATTTTTAAATTGGTTTTATGACAGATTCTACATTTGCAATGCTCAAACTTGTTAAAAAATGTTTCTTTCATGATTTGTTTCCTGTCAATGCAAATAAAAATGGTTATTAAAACTACCATTGAACAATTTTTATTTATATTGCGACACAATAATGTATTACATACTGCAATAGCTGTTTACAAAGTGATAAAACTGCCAATACAAGAGATTATTTTGTAAGTTTTAATCGTAATTTATGACTTTATGTGGAATTTGATTATTGACAAAACGAAAAAATGTGATTTGGCTACTGCAGATTTACAACTCGAATTATTCTAACGCAATTAGTCTAAATTTTAGTTCATTAATTTATTTTTCTGGGTTCTGTGCCAAATTATATGACTAGGTTTTACAAAACACTAATAATTAATAATAATTTAATAATTTTTTAGCTTCATTTTTAACTCATCGAAAAATCCTGCCAAATCAGCTCACGTTTCAATATAAAACGGAAACGAAGTAGCTGATATCAGCCGATGACACTCTGGGCATCATTAATCACCATCAAGCTCGAACTTAACATCTATAAAGATTATTTTTTCAGTATGTTCTCTATCTCACACAAATTATTTATTTAGCTCTCCATATCGGTAAAATATAAGTCAATAAAACACGAAATATCTAAGGATACCTACATTTATAATTCGATACTTAAAATTGTCCTCCTCTATTTAACTTTATTACATCCGTTTTTATTTTTAAGCGAAGGTGTTGTCCTGTTAAACAATCACGGGAACTATTATTAGATGGCTATTATTATTTTTATAGACTGGTGAAGTTGTTATTGTCAATTACATTTCAATTGACAGACATTTCAATTAATCGAATTTTTTTAAAGTGTGGATTGGAGAATTTTTCTTACCAAAGTGTCAATTATTATTGATTTAAATAAAAATAAGATTTCTGATTTCTGGTTCTTTTGGTTTCTTCCACATTAGTTTTTGTTTTAATTCAGAACTCTACCTGCCTTTTCAATTATTAATTTGACTGAAAGTTTCTCGTCTGAAATGCTTACTAAACGACCTAAGGCTCTGAAAAAATTGAGGGGTTCAATAATGAGTTAATGACTACCTGTTTGCAATTTAAAGGTAGTTTTACAGTCATAAATCAGCAACAGGTACCTAAAACCTTCCCAATTGCTGGGTCCAACTTCATTCCGTTCTGTACTATTATAGAAAATTATAATTTATAGTTGTGGTAATGCTGTAAATAACCGTTCGCAAATAATAGATTTTTCTGAAATGTAGTGAAATATTTTGCATCGATTTTGCGAATCTAAAATTCATTCACATTTCGAGTCAGACTTCCTGTAATTTCTCCGAATCACCTGCTGAAAACTGAAGAGAATTTCGGAATCGTAAAATCGATACGCGGATGCTGTGCAGAATGCAGACGGAACGTCTGGCTCTCCCAAACACAAAAACTCTCAAGTTACGAAACCGAGCTGCAACCGCATTTCTAATCAAACTTTAATTGACCAAATCGCAGTAATCGCACAAAAATTTCTGAATCATTGTTTTTTTGCAGAAACCCCCAATCAAAATGGAATGCGGAGTGACGGGGGGCTACACCAACGGAACCACTCCTGCCGGTATCCTGGCCGACGTCCGGTCCGAAAGATCGCCCTCGAAGACGGGCCTCCATGTCAATTTCAAGGACAAAGGAGAGATTAAGGAACGCAGAGAGAAGTTTCTCACTGCTAAATACGGACACCACCAAATGAGTCTCATCAGAAAACGATTGGCTGTGGAAATGTGGCTTTACGAAGAGCTTAAAAAGCTCTACGAAACTTCGGTAAGTAACGTGTGTAATTTTTCATCCAAGATAATGCAGTCTAGACTCTTATTTAAAGCGATTGAATAAATATTGATCGTGGGGAAAAAAGCAATCTGTTATAATTTAAGCGAGCAAAGCTGTAACGAGGATTAAAAACTTCTGAAAAATGAATAATACTGTTGGGGACGTTTTCTTGAATTTCGTGGAGGGTTTTACAACACAAAGAGTTCAGATTTACCTGAAACTAGTCACAAAGAAAGTAAAACCTACATGGACGGATTACTCTGCAATAGTTGGCTCCTAATAAAAATATAAAGTTTTCTAAGAGGTTATTTTAGCTTTGAACTGTGTTCACACCACGTACTGCTTTTCCTAATTGCATATTATTGATTGTTCACTCTCATAAACACTTGTGCATTGAACTCATAATTATTTCATGACGTGCTATTGTATTAAAGCAGCCGATTATTAATTTAACTTTTAATTGATTAAACAATAGTGTTGGTCGTTGTTGAATCACTTTTCAATCCATTTTATCGCTGTATGAATTCAAGCTGAGAAAAAAAAAATAGTACAATGCATAAAATTATTTAATGCTTCATTAGTCGCTCATTAAAACTTATTCTTATGCAAACTTGACTCATATTATGATAGTGAAAAAATAAGAAAGTTGAAATATTAATTTTATTTTTAGAAGGGTAAGAGTACTTCTTTATACACAAATGTATTATTAATTTTTTACAAAGTCATATTATTGACTTTTTCTCTGTGGTAATAATGTATCAGGAATAAATAGTATACTAACAGATTAAGCAGTGTTTTTTTAATTTTTCTTACAATTGTTAGAAAGCAGGGGGTGGTTTCAAAATGGAGTTAAGGTTTAAAAAATCAAAAGCAGCACAAAGAAGCTTTTTAATAATCATAACAATAATACTATTTAAAAAAAATTATTTACAGTATCTAAATTATAACATACATAACACTAAAACTTATATTTATGAAAATGTAAGTTTTTGATCTTACAAACCACTCTTCTCAATGTCTTTTTTAGCTCTTGTGGCTATTTTGATCACAATACACAGCAGATTTTGCTTCGTATTATTTATTTTATTGCAAAATTTTGTGTCAAGACAAAGTTGTGAATGTTAATATAAACACATTGTAACAAGAATATTGCAAAATAATAATCTATGTATAATTACCTTGTTTCTGCTTAAAATCAATTAAAATTTTGTTGCAGTGTTAAATTTATATGAAAATAAGTAAACAAAATGCAAATGTTTATTATTGTTGAATGTTTATGTTCGAGTATGTTTACCTGCAATCATTTATACTAACAAATTGAGCTCTGAAAATCAATTTGTTACTATAAATCTCTTTAATAAATAAGAGCGGTCATGGATAAAATTAGAATTTATTTTCAAAAATTGGTTCCAGATTATTTAAGGAGACACAAAATGAGTCGTTCACCTCACCGTGATGTTTTCGTGTACAGTAATTATCCGTTTTCCTCATCAACATATTTATGCAAAATCCGACCTTGAACCGTTAATAATTTTCTTGTTTTCGGTTCAATCCGTAACACCTGGATCGTGACTTGTCCATGAAAGCGGGCCATCAATAAAGATTATCGATCCGAGTTAATTTCGGCGATTTAGGCCAATCTTCGCGAACCTGAACTTGTGAGCTTTCATTTTTACCTTCTGATGTCACAATCAATAATTCTAATCCCATTTTAAATAATACAAGTGGCGTAACTGCGGAACTGTTGTCATTTTTTCCATTCATATTATTTTCAGAGCATGATTTCAAAGAAACAATTGATGGCCGTTTCAGAGACAAGAAATACGTACAGACAGTATAATAAATTACATTGTCTCGTCAATTAACTTGGATACTTCTTGTCTTACTGCGGTAATTGCTTCCTTATGTGCCTGTTAACTTCTATTCTTCTGTCTTTTAGTGTCAAGTTTGTCAGGCTTGTTAATGTAATCGCTGTGAAAGTGATATTGTAATATCTTAACACATTTTTTTTAATTCAAGAGAGGATATTTTCAGAAAAAATCAGTGCCAAGGAATGTATCTCAAAAAATGTTTAGTCTCATTTAGCGCTAAATAAATCATCCAGTGAGTTTTGTTCTACAAATACTATTAAAAATGATAAACACGCGAAAACAGCATCACGTCGTTGAATTTTTAGGACACTCATATATTTAGTGCTTTTGTTGTGAAAAAATACATACAATGATTTGTCTTGTAAGATAGAATTACTTGCAGTTATAGAGATATTCAGTTTATTTACAATAATACATATCAAGTACCTACTATAACACGCTATAACTATAATGTGACTACTAAAATGTAATTTACACCAACCAACAGTAACATTTTCAGTTCCATTTCATATATAGTCGTTATCTAAGTACCTACTTACATAACATACGACTTTAATAAATGAAAATAAATATTCCCATTATCAAGTGTTAATTTCTTGTGTTATAATAAAACTTTAATAACTTAAATTGTTTTACATTCAATCAATAATTTTTATTGATTTTTTTCTCAATGATTCAAAAAATAATCAAGTTATTAATTCATTTGTAATTGGATTGTTTACCCACCTTAATTATTGTAGTACCTATAATAAACGTCAGGATATTACATTTGTACTCTTACGTAATTCTGATTAAAATATTTAACGCAGTTCGAATTGATTAATGTGTAAGAAGAAACGTATATCTCAGTATGGGTTCGGTATTTCTTTTTTTGTTTTAATTAATTACGTATACTGCGATATTTGAAAGTTTGTAAGTCTTGTGCGGCATGAAACCTCTACAAAATTTAATGAATTTGAGTTTCTCACGCTATGTTTCAAAAGTTTGAGAGAGACTTATGACAGAGTCAAGGGAAGTTAAAAATTGGAAGTATTACAAAAAGAAATTGTTTCCAGAAACAATTACAAAACTTTTGCTTTCTACGTATAATTTAATAATAAAATAAGTCTCATACGGTTTACATTTCTTCAAGTAAAAAGTAAATTTCCGATCAGAGTGGCTTGTGATTAAGTTCGTAAAATATCGAGAATCCGAAGTTACCCCAATCGTACTATTTAAAAATAACATTCAGTTTTACGAACGTAAACATCTATGCGATGTAAAATTTTAGAGTTTCGTTTAATTACAGGGTGTTTCACATAATTTCATGAGCCTGTAAGATGCAATCAATAATACATATTCCGATACGAACTCGATTACAAATTTTGAAAAATTGGATAATCTTCTCTAGTTTGTTCACCCTTTAAAAAATTACAACGTTTTTTGTTAGTGATTAAGATAGATAAACTAGAATCATATTCATGCCATCTCTTGATAAGACAAATGATAATTGTTTCTGAAAAACTGCAGTTTATGACTATTAATGAAACAGTGATTAGTTTGACAACTACTGTCAAGGGTTTCCAAAAATTAAATAATTAAATGTGTATTTTTTGTATCCATTGTTTTGTGTCTTTTGTATATTTGGGTGCGTACATTAGGCGCAAGCCTCGTAAAGTTGTGTGAAACACCCTGTATATTAGTTTATTCCGATTTTAGAAAATTTTGTTTATTGTTTTCCAATGAAACTTTAGAAATAATAATTTGCCCTACAAGAGTGAGTTTTCTTGAAATTCTCTCACTGCTATCCCCAGATTGAGAATCCGGTTGAAATGCTTTTTTGACTCAGGTAGCAGCATTTTTCAAAGAAACTATCAACCTAAAACCTTTATTCTCCATCTCGATCAGTCAACGAACAAGCAGAATGCAGAATTTTTACCTACTTCAGGCCAGTGGCGCAACCAAAAGATAAAGTTTATGGTGGGGGGGACACTCATAATGTTTTTATACTATTTTTTCTATTAAGAGATTTTTAATCTATTATTATATTTGACAGTTAAAACTTTTGTTATTTAACGTATGCGGTACCCAAATTGCTTGAAAATAGCTCAAATTGCGTTAGTTTCGATAAAATACGCCAGTATACGATACAAATGTAGCATAAAATGTTTCTAAAAACCGTGTCACACAGAGCATTTTGTGTAACTGAAAACAGTCGCACAAAATGCCCATTGTGGATAAAAACTCTTAAAAAAGTACCTATTAATGAATTAACGTAAGCATTATTGTAAAAGTTGTAAACATTGTGATTGGGCAGTTTAAGGTCGGCCATCATAATAATGTAAAGAGCCAATCACTTTAGATTTTTGGTTTCATTCAAAAATATAAAGCAATGATGTGATTGGTCCGTTTGAGGTCGGCCATTATAATAACGTGAGAAGCCAATCACCTGAAACTTTAAATTCATTAAAAAATGTAGTGAAATTGGTTAATTCCAATTTTTATTGAAAATGTCAATACGCTCTTTATTCCCACTTATGAGGATAAATAACGTAAGTATTGTGACGGAGACTCTAGGTAAGTGTAAGTACTTTAAATTTCGTTAGACTTGATTGGGAAATAAATCCATAATAGAAATAGGACTGTGTGCTTACAAAAACACAACATAAATTAGCAAGAAAGATACGGAAGTGAAAATTTTCTTCGAACCTGAAATTTTTTTATTGAAATAGTTAAACAACCTCACTTTATCTTCTTGAGACAACATAGGAAACTTGGAAAAAGGAAGATACAAAAAGAGTCGCCTACAAGTTGGAAACAGTACAATTTGCAATCTACAACCAACATCCTGTTATAATTTGCTGTAAACTTTGAATTTAGGCAGCATGCAAAATGAGACAAAAATTGTTTTTTTAATGCAATATTTGCCAGGATTTCGAAAACTATTGAAGATACAAAAAAATGAAAAACCATCGTTTATGAGATATAAACGAAAAACCAAAACTGTACCTCTTGGCGTCCTTTTTAGTTCCGCTCAACTCGAAGAGACTTTTAATATGAGACCTCTAGAGATTTTTATGATGTTTACCTTCTAACTAATCCAAACACAGCCCGGAAGTTAAAAATTCAGTTCCCAATCATATTCTACAACCCTTTTTTGTACGTTATTGAACTACCTAATATTAATTAATAGTCATTTTATCAGTCGACATGGTAATGAAACGCTTTCTTCGAGACCACCCCGTTACACAAGTTTCATTTACATTGAATCTATTTTTTCCCATCAATCGCGAGATTTAATGAGAAGTGAAGTACTATTATTACACTTTGTTCCTCTCCAAAACAAGAAATTTAATTGGAATGAAATGTTGCAAAAATTTTAGTCGTGAACAATGCAACGCAACAAAACAGCTTGGGAATTTCCTGTTCATAACTTTATAATTTCCGAGATTAGTAATTAACATGTGTCACCGGATTATTTCCTTTTCGGGTGCTAAAATGTTGCCTTGTGCTACAAACATTTGGGTCAAACCGATTCCTGCAATCTTAATTTCTCATCGTATCGATTTTCCATTACACTTATTGTTTATAACAATTATTTTAACCTTTTTTTTTATGTAATAGACATGCAAGACATGGTGTACCCATCACGTGATTTTTAACCCTTGTGTAAACAACTCGCACTAATCAGGCGGCTTTGTTGCTGGTAGATTTCCCTCAGGAACACTCGCAGGAACGTCTCTTAAAATGATGAAGTCATCGACCTTTCGGAAAAGATGAGACGAGATTATTTCGACGAGGGCGTGTTTTTAATCCACATAAATGCGATTTATTAATCTCGGATTATTGAGTTTGTGGTCTATTTTTGTGTTGTAAAGTGAATATATTTAGAGAGTGAGGTAGCAGGAAAATCCTACCAGGTTTAAATTAGTGTAGCACAAGAATGCGGCTGACATCACATGGGGAAATTTGTTTTATTTAATTTTTCATTTATGACATTATTTGGTAATTTTAGTAATTGTAACACTTTGCTTTGGCCATCTAAAATTAATTATGAGTGTCATCAATTAAAATAAAATTAGCTGAGTATCAAGACACACATGTTTTTGATTGTTGATTCAAAGCAAAGATACATGAGTTGCAGAAGTCTAATTAATTTTCTCAATTCTGTTTTTATTTTCTTCGTTTGAAGATTGAAACTGTAGGTAGCCACCCTTAACAAGTATTAATGATCTTGGTCTATGTCCGCTTGGATGCTTTATTCACTCGTTATTTGCATAAGGGAAGTCTATAGAAATCTGAACAGGCTTTTATGTAAATCTGACTCATTATATTGTTCATTGAACTTGAATATAACGCTTTCTTTCTGTGGAGTATTTTGTATTAAAAAATCTGTTTAAAGGACCATTTGTATTAATCTTCATTTATTTTATTTAATAAAAGTGATGCACCACAACTTATTCAGGAACCTTTCAGAAAAAATAAATAAACTTTACATCATTATTTTAAAAAGAACGTTGTGTCTGTTTAATAATATTACTAACGTTATCCGAAATACATTATTACTGAGTTATTTCTTATTAATTTGAATTACAGCTGATTTTTTAGAAAATATTTTTAGTTTATTTTATTTATTATAAAACTATCTATAGTTTACACAGATTTATTGTAAACTCATTTTTCAGTGGAATTTGAAAATCTCAAATTGGTTTTTCAAATTTTTATTTTTACAACAAAAACATTTTACTTACTTAAATTTTTAAATTGTTTTACAAAATTTACAAAACAATATTATTTTCATAGAGAAGATATTAAACAATCAATGTGTCCACGAGCTCATTGTTTCTTTTTTTAAACTCACTGATTTTTGTAAGAAAATGATAACAATAAATACTGGGTGATTAAGAATGACTGAGTTGCAGCAGAATTAAATGTTTTTTTTTCGGGCGAATGCAACACTAACTAGATTCTATGGCACACTATTATCTTCGAGTTATATTGTAAAATGTGAATTACAATTTTGTTGATATTTTTTAGATTAAAAAAAAAAATAGAAAGTAGTGTATATGTCACAGGCTGTTCCGAAATCTACTTTTTGGCCTAGTCTATAAGAATGCCTCATTAACCCAAAACAAAGCGAATAACGCACCTCAGCAGGTGTTTAAACCGCGACTGAAGGTCATGGTGTTGTTGGTGGTTGATGGTTGTTGACCCTTTTGCTCACACATTGTTACACATGCTTGTTAGTCATCCTAATCGTCGGTTCTCAAGCATTTCCCTACATTTTTAACCGATGATAAGACCAATATTACATTTGCATCGGTTGTTGCACACCTTGCGGCGGTGGTACTCACCATCAACCATCAGCAGTGACTCAGCGGAATGACTTCCATCGGTAGCTCTTTCGAAAAAAAAAATACTTGACAAGAGATATACAACGATTGCGTCATATACAGGATGTGTCAAACAACTTGTAACACACTGCAATCCTCATATTAATTAGGGGACTTGACAAGGATACTTTTTGTGACACAATTTTGTAATTTTTTTCATAAAAAGTTGCGCTAATTTGGAAACATACTAAAAATATATACCGGGAGGCAATTTGCCAAAGCAAAAAAATGATAACACAAAGTGAAATAAATTAGTACAACGAACGTATCGTACAAGAGATGTGTAATGTGTAGTAATGATTTTGTCAGGGCGACAGATGGTTCAAATATTTCATTATATTTGTGTTGTAGTAAAGTGCAGGTGTAAATAAGAGATAAATGTTATGACGTTGTTTCTTCCTATCATATTATTTATAATTGTAATTTCGTTTTCTAAATCTGTGGGCAGATCGGGATGATTATTGATTACAAATAGTTAGGATTAGTTTCGAGGAGTTAATTTAGTTCGGTTTAGGCACTTTAATCATGTAATGTATGTAGATTAATTAATGCGGTATTTAACGTCAATTAAAGCAAATTACGGAATGTCAAAACATAAATACTTAATTAAATTAAATTATAATTAATAATTATTTTAGAATGATTAAAATAGAAAATGTTTTTGGAGCTAAAAGTAGTTATTTTTCATCACTTTTGGGGAAGTGAAAAGCAACGTAATAAATGCGTCATCAAGCTTTTTAACACTTCTTGGTGCTAAAAGGTGAAGCCAAATTTTTTATAAAACTTCCTCTGAATTCAAAAAACCTTATTATAAATATAAAGAGAGAAATTATAAAAATGTAAATAAAAATTTCAGTGTTTTGATTTTCTGTGTTATGAATAATAAACACGTACCTTCAAACAAATTTTATTTACCTAATTTTAACTCTAAAAGAAAATCCGGATTGAATTTAACTCGAAATAAAAGTTTATATTTTTAGAATAGAGAAATTTTCGAGCGACACAAAACAAACCCAGTTTTATTTTAGTTAAAAATAGACCTTTGAAAATGCATTTCGACGTGAACAACAAATGAGAAGAAATTAAATTTCCATCAATCACGAAGTAATTTGGTCGCCGCATTCCCAATTAAATATCTACAGCTCATTAATGTTTATTTTTATTATTTATCGTATGTGAGTTATTTGTCACGAATAAGTTCCGGTTTTAAGGTCATTTTGGGATGATAATTTTATCGGGGTTTAAAATCCGGTACTGATTTTACTTATTAGAAAGATAATAATGGAAATAGAGATTAAAGTTTTCCAAGTACACTAATAAATGTTTTCTTCTTTCCGAATTGAGACTATCTAAATTTGTTTTTTATTAAATTATATAAAAGTACCTCGTTTTTAAGAATGACTGTTTAGTTAGCAATACATTGACATACCATACAGGTGATTTTAAAGTTTTAACGTTTGTAGTTTTTGAGATGCAGACGGTTTAGTTATTCGAATAAATTTAGCAATTCGAATTGTAAACAATATGATCTCTTAGGTTAGCTCTTCAAAATCTATTACATTGTTTTTGTAAATTTGAATTAAAAATTGGCACAGAAAAAAGTGTCCTCATATAAAAAATCATGAAACGGTAAAAATTTTGCATCCATTTTTTTGTTGAAGATACAATCAAATTTCATTACCTCAAAGTATGTAGTCTAAAGGTTTAAACTTAGTTTATATTGCATTTTTTGACAATTTTTCCGACGCTGAAGTGAAGGTTATACCCTCTATATCTCAGAAACTATTAACATTCGGATAAGGCATGTTTAGTTATTTAGACTTCTTTTGATCTCTACTATCACCTGTTAATGTTTGCACATACTTTAAGATCACCCCGTACAAACTTAAAGTGGCGGCCAAACTGACACAATTAACAATTTAAGACGTTTGATGGATTCCTAACAATGGTCGGTTCCAAATACAGAATTTATATCTTCTTGATTGTAAAAAAAAAAAACTAGAAATTTCAGTGGTGTGGCATTTCTAATGTTACTCAGTGTATTTCAACCACTTTTCATTATTATAATGAAGGAATTGTTTATGAATTCCGACGCCCAATTCACTCGAAAAATCGTGATTTTCACGTATCGCTTCTTGATTAATTCATGAGTGAGTGTTAAAAGGCATCTCTTTGTTTCAGAAACAAGTAGACGATGTAAATAACGACGAAGTAGAGGTGGACATAGATGAACTGCTAGATATGGACAACGACGATGAGCGAAGGAGGCATTTACAGGTAATAATTTTTCCATTTCAAACACCTCGTTCAACAATTATTATAAGTCATCGATAAGGAAAATGTCAAGGTTTGGGCCAGACCCTTATTCGATCAATCAATTTTAAGGAAATTATTCAAACGATCGTTTTCTATTTCAGTCGAGTACGTTTTAAGCAAACAAATCCCGTATTGCTTTTGTATTCATTTTTCCTGCGGCTCTCTCGGGGTTGCACTATTAAATATCCTGCGAGAGAGCACATTTGGATCCTGCTGGGCGTCGACCTCTCACATCGTTATTGCGCTCTGAGGCAGTCAGGATCAGTTTTATTTCAATTTTTAAATCGTTTCGCCCCTAGAATGTTAACCACAAACTAACAAAGAACCGGCGATGGTTAAAATGTAACGAGCAAAGGTTATCTAAAGGGAATTTCCTGTTTTTTCTCCATATTTACATATTAAACATGATAAAAGCGCTCGTGTCTTGCCGAGTGTTTCCTTTTTTCGCCATACTTATCGGAGTATAAACAGGAATAAATATTGGCAAATTGGACAATATTTCGCTTGATTATCTTTTTTCAAATTAGGAATTTTGTAATTAACCTTGTGATAAATGAAGCAGGGTTTCGAAAATTACAATGTTTAGTATACAAAAATGTCAACATTGTTAACGCAACCAATATTTAGATTTTGTAACCTTCGAAATCCAATTCAGAAACTGTGTAATAGAAAATGTTCAATCTTTTTTTACGATTCATAACGTCAATAATTGTATTTATTGTCTACGAAAAGAAATAATAAAAAAACAAGAAAATTCTAGCATCGAAAATTGAAACGCGTCTTCACCTATTATTTTTTTGTTTTAGAATTTGCTGATAAATGCTAAAGGATCCCAAAGTGATGTAAAAGTGAGTAGTTATTCATAATGTGAGTAATGTGATTTAATTTTTTTTGTTTCAGAAATTCATCAATGATCTGTTAGACAAAGCAAAGACTCTGTAAATAAAAGTGAAGTGCCAAGTAGGTTGAGTGAAGAAGACTACGGCCCTATGGCGCCCTGTTTGCACAAGTTTTAGTGATTATCTAATTATTGCATCATCGATGTTGATCGTTCAAAACTGTATTCCATCCTAATCTATCAGGAAGGTCAACGTGACTTAAGACAGTTTGGACCGATTCTTTTGTAATAGACGAAATTAGGTTTTGTCGTTGTGGCCAGTTTTGCCAATTGTTAATCGATAAAAATCTCTACTAAAATCTTTTTCTAATTTTTTATATTTTTAGCGCTAATTTTTATTGTAATGGATACAATGAATGTTACTATTTGTGCATTAAACGCGTGTAGCTAGTCCTGATATAGAATTACGACATGTTTAGATCATATCACAGAAGCCGCCTTTGGAATAATTACAATATCATGGCTTGAGTAGCTCTTTATCATTGGTTTTCATATCGAATGTGCTCAAAATTTTTGTAATGTGATCATGAATGTGAGCTTCCCCAAATTTATTATCATACCTATCGTCATATTGGCCTCACTTTGTTTTTGTTTAGATCATTTAGTGTAATATAATTGTTTGGTGTACTTATAATATATTTATCTGTAAACTGCAATCGATCTTGTGATCTCAGCCCTCTCAAATCTGACATGTGTATCATAGGATGTATGTAGGAAGTTTATAGTTGTAAGACATTTTATGAATTAAATAGTTATGATCCAGTAAAATAATACTTTTACTTAAAATATACTTTTTTGTCTACATTTTTATTTTTTCCCATTGCCGTTACAAGAAAAAGTTACTTGCGGCACAGAATAATAGTATATTTTATAATAATGTATATTTTATTTATATTCTGTGCTTGCGGCTACAAGCGAAGTTCAATTGTTTGTTTTTGACTCAAATTTTAATAAACAATAATCAAATTGCCCACAAAAAATTTAATTGAGTACTTAATTATATATACTCAATATTTTAGTAGTACATAAACCCCTTTAATAAGTTTTTCTCTCAACATAGGTAGTAGATATAATTAGTAATACACTGGCGGACACGGAGTTTTCGACATTTTGTCTTAATAAATTACTACTTTCTTGTTTTTTAAAATTCAAATTCAATACTTACGGGCCAAAATCTGACTTACTTATCACGTTCGCTTTTATCGACTGCGGAAGTTGCAGACTGACTTACCGATCGAGCGGCAGGCTACTTAAATTTGAAGCTTGGGTTATTGCGTTCTATTATTTTTGCAACAATACGAAAACACTTATCAACATTTTCTCTTGTGTATAAATTTGTAAAGTACATTCGTAGAATAACTTTGAATGGTTACATTAACTTTGTAGTTTTTAGATAAATTAAGTGTTAAAAGGGAAAGGATATTTGAGACATAAGTAAACACAGTTTAAATTTGCAAATATATTTCTGTTATTTCTATTTTTAACTGTTTTTTGAAGTTTGTATTTTGGTCCCTGTGTTGACGTACAAAATCAAGATGGCACATTTCAGTTTTGAAGTTTGTCATGTCAATCAGTCATTCAAATTTTCAAGAATCAACTTGTAAAGTATCATTTTAAAACTAATTTCAATCAGGTAAATATATATACGATGCAAAATTTGTATTTTCCCTCCATTTTTATAAAAATCGATCAACGCATGCGTAAAGTGTAAACGTTTGGTCTTGTCACTTAACCCTGAGAAAAGTCGTCAAAATAACTTACAAAACGGCTAAAATTACAATTTAAATCATTTATTAAACCCTCGTACTAACCTTTTATCTTATGGCACCAGTTGAAGATAACGACAGTGGCATGGAATCACAGGAAGGGTCACAAGCACAAGATGCTCCCAGCAAGGAGTTTTCTCCGGAAAAGAAGCTCGAATTGGAAATGGACTACGATGATGAGGTGAATAACTTGTTTCTATAATTTTTATGCCGAGAACTCCGATGTTATGCATAGAAATTGCCTCAAATAGATGGACATAACCTCACTTTTTGCACATTTTTATTTCCAGCCCGACGAAACGTTATCCGAACGGTTATGGGGCCTCACTGAAATGTTTCCCGAATCAGTCCGTAATGCTACGCACGCGGCAGCCGTTAATACACAACAAGGTGTAAAAAATTTGTACAGTTTCTCACGGAGCGCGTTATGGATAGTTTTTAGTACTTCAATCATCTTATTTGCCCCTGTTATATTTGAAGTGGAACGGGCACAAATGGAAGAAATGCAGCGTAATCAACAAAAACAAGTTTGCATAATATTGGGTAAAAATAACAGGGTTATTGTTTTTTTGTGTTTTAGATGCTTCTAGGGCCAAACACGGCTGTTTCAGGGGGCGGCATGCCATTGATGCCTCCTATGCAACGATAATGGGGAAAGTCGTGGGTGTTATAGGTTTTCTAAAAAGTTCTTGTATGCAGTCTGATTGTAAAATTCCTGTTAATATAATTACGATCAATTGCATATTGTTGCATTTTTAATGCTTGGAATAGTTAGTTGCGTTATTAGAATAAAACATTATTGGTCAAAAGCGAATTTTTGTTCCGACTTCACCTAAGTTTGTTTTGAACGTTTTGAAAAATCGTTACAGGAACCTGTAATTTTGCGACAATCATAAAGGGAAACGTGCATGGCCAAATTGAATTTTGTCCTTTGTTTTTTGGAAATTATCAATTATTCAACATTGTAACATGATGTTTTTTTGAATTTGGCGTCTTAGTGGGCAGTGACATTGAGTTTGTTGTCCCATTTTTTTTCGCTCAATTTTTTTTTTCATTTTTAAATTGCAAACAAAAATGAGTAAATTTTAATGAATTTATTTAATAATTCGTACGATTTTCGTACCAACATCGAGTTATATATACAGCCATGTTATTTAATTTATATATTAAAATAGTTAATTTATGTAATAATAAAAGTCGTTGACATTTCATTGACAAATTTAGCCAACTTTGCGCTGTTATTTACTTCAGTACACGTTATAGAATTAATACTGATTGTAAGAAATTTATTTTTATATCTTTTTAACAAATTTTATTATGAAATTTTGTACAATTTTTGGTAACTGAAATAAATAGCAGCTGCAAAGACATTCTATACCACAAATTTCAAACAGTCTTTAATGCAACTGACCCTAGATCAATTGCAAAAAATGGCTGAAATATAGATGAAATAAACAGAAATGAAAAACTGAATGTACCATTAGAGAAACAAAACTTACACTGGGGCTTGTAGTACGAAATTTACAAAGTCATATATAAATGTACTTATTTACACATAGATTATGATAAATGTAATATGTACAGAGCGGCTTCCACAAACAAAACCAGTGATGTCATTTTTGTTACTTAATTTAAATCACTGTCATAATGACGAGCCCTTCAACACTTTGTGGAAACCGTTCGAAACTGAAACAACATGAAAAAGACAAATTATTACAAAAAGTTATCATCATATTTGATGATAAATTCTAGAAACTGTCATCTATGGTTATTTGAAAATTCACCTATGTAACCCAACATGTAATAACAATCGTTTTTACACTAAGAAAAAAACTATTTGTAATAATTAATAAAAACAGAAGTTCTACATTTTTAAAACACGAGATCACCTCTTAAATAATTTTGTACTTTTATTACATGTACAACAGTGTCAAACGTCAAATCACTGGCCACAAACTCGCGAGTATTACAAATATTAATTTATAATATGTACAAATGAGATTTTTCGAGAGGTTTGATTAGAGTGATTGACGTTGCACATTAAACGCAAAAAAAATAACAATTTTCTAATTCCAGCTTAGCAATAGAAATTCAATTATATATATATTATTTACAAAGTGTACATACTCTCATCCTCATCTACAAAAATATATAAAAAAAAACTATATTACCAATGATAAATCAATTCAAACTGCAAACTGAATCGCAAAATCAGAACGAAACTCTTAAAAAAAAATCTTAATCACTGGTCCTACGCATCGCTATTTATCGATAACATATATTATCCTTTTAAAAAATAAATCTCCAAAAATAAAAACAACTATATACACACTGTGCTTACAATTAATACTTGAATTAAATAAATATGTTGTATGAAAATTGAAATTGCACACCCTCTTTAAACTAATTAAAGCTCCTTCAGTTCACGTCTGCTGGCTGGGATACGGTGAGTTACCTGCTTCCAAATCGGGGGGCGGCGAGGGATTGCGACCCTCGTAACGGCCCTCCTCATCTACAAAAACGTCCAGTAACACCAAACTAAACACCTCCACCCTCAAAACTTACCCAAAACCGACGCAAACGCAGTAAAATTGCTGTCGTTTGGATAGACCGGATTATTAAACGGCGGTACGTAATCCACTGAATCGATTTCTTCAAAACTGGCTTGAGCATTTTCGTCCGTCGCGGTCTCTTCCTCATCTGGTGTATAAAACATATTCGGTTTGACGGCAACTTCAGGTTCCTTCTCTGAGATTTCTTCAATCTCAATTTCCGGTTCTTCCTTTTCAACAGCTGGAGGACTGCTCACGGAAGCCGGATTTGAGGGAGCACTCTCCAAAATCGGGGACGATTTTGAAGCAGTTAGGTTGACTTCGCAACTGCCCGGAATTGGGAAATTAGGACTCGGCGGGATTGCCTTGACGACCGGTGGAAGTTCACAATTTAAAATCGCTTCCACGTCCAAAGCTGTAATGAAAATAAAATCACAAATGGTCATTAAATACTTGACAAGACCTACTTGGTTTGCGACTTTCTTCATCCACTGCAATACCTAAAACCTTCTTCAACCTCAAAGTGGTCAATTCACGCTGCCGTTCGAGCTCAGTGGGCTCTGAGTTAAATGCTGACGGGGCTATAAAACAAAAAAAGCGTTAATAAGTTTTTAATCGCCAGATAACAAACGAATTAGTTAAATGTTCCTTAAAAATCATTACCTTTACCAGTCAACTCGATGGCGGGAGTTTCATCATCCGACGAAGTGATCGACGTTGAACTGCTCATACTATCTGACCTTGAACGCATCGGTTTGAACGACTCTGAAGAATTATTTTCTTCAGTACTAACAGGTTCGTCCATTGATGTTTTATCGTTATTATTGAGCTTTTTCCTTTGTCTGTATTCAGTAATAGAAAGCTACAGATACCAATAATTAGTATGAAAAATATTCAATTTGAATAAACTTTTCTTACTTTTCGTTTGGCCGGTGTGATCGGTTCAGGCTTCCTTTCCTCAAATCCTAATATACTTAGTGTCTTTTCTACAGTGCCTACCAAATGATCGCTATTCGAGAAAATATGATGATGATCCCTCGATAAACGAGGATCCATGAGACATGAAACTGGGGGCATTTCGGGTCGAGTTGTAGGTGGAGGTACCTCCTGTAACGGGGGTACAATACAACTGCTGAATTCTTCTTTCATTTCAGCGACGCGTTCTTCTAATACTGCATCTGATTCAATGGCTTGAGTTGGACTGTCTTCATCGTGACCGCTATACACGATTTCAACACAGCCTTCTTGAACAGGAGGTCGTTCATTCTACAAAATATACATCATTAATTCAAAGAACAAATTATTTGAGACAAATAATTACATTAATAGTTGGAGGTGCTAAACTAGTTGGTGTCGATGGTGGTGTAATATCATTTGAGAGTGATTCTCGCGGTAAGCGGCGCTTCTTTGGAGGGGCTATCGTTTCACTGATTGGAGGAGATTCTACGAGACAATAAATATGTTAAACGTCAAACAATTATAAAACTGAAGTAACATACCGGGACGACCAGACGGACTATCACACTGATCCTCACTAATAGCCTGTCTCAACCACCTCTTCTTCGCACTTCCCCTCGGTTGTACATTCGTATCGCAAAAACTGGCAACTTGAGCAAGTGCAACAAGACTTTTCCCCGGATTATAAAAACCAACATTCGAGTCATAATCAGTGCTGGTATTGATATGTGGCGTTAGCGACGATGGCGATATTGAACTAGCCGAATGTACAGGTTCTGGCACTTTATTCAACCATTCGTTCATTAAACCTTTTTTCGTTTTAGGAAATTTAAAACCTTGTTCCATCGGCTCAACAGCGGCTTGTACAAGTAGACAAGCAGACGATAGATGTGTTTCAGGCGATGATTGTGCCGAATTTGAATTAGAATCGGTTTCACGTGGTGGAGATTTATTCGCTTTTTCACCATTCGAAAGTGCTAAAAGAAGACCGACGTCTTTGTCGGAAGTGTTTTGTTGGTTGCCGTGAGTATTCTCTTTGTAATCGTGATCTTTCATGGAAGAACGATTTGGTGGACCGCTGTCATGTGGCGAAAGCAATGTTTCATCGCCAGAAGTGAGGTAAGAATCAGTTGAATTAAGACGATTTCGACGACTGGCTGGAGTGTGCGTACTGGAAGTTCGCGCTCTACCTTTTCGCCTGTTTTACCAAACACGATTATCTTTTCTCTTTTTAAAACAAGTGTTGCTTACCTTTTTCGCTTCATTTTCGGCTCCGTCTTCTCCTCGTCTTTCCCCGGCCCCGGCTCCGACTCCCTTCTATGAGCCTGTTTGGCCTGATGTTCCTGTTTTCGTTGATCGGCTTTTTCCATCTGAGCAATCGCCCTCAAAATGGCTTCCAATTTCCTCTCTTCGCGACTCAACTTCTTATTTTTATTTTTCTCTGTCGAAGGTGACAAATCTACATTAAAATGGAAAATCGCAACCGATCTCAATGCCATCTTACCCTCCTTTACTTCCGGTTCCTTACTTTCCTCCTTCTCCGCCTTGTGATGAGACGACGAACGTCTCGTAGTTATCGGTGGCGTTGTCGGAGTCGACGGTGTCACCGGTTTCACATCTTCCTCTTTCACTTTCACATCTTTCACGTCTTCAGTAGCCGGTTCCGTAATTTCTTCTTTTATTTCGGGTTTAATATCTTCAGGTTCATTCTTAACCGGGTGTTCTACTATTTCGGGTTTGACGTCTTCTTCATCATCGTCCTCCTCGTGTTTCACTGGAAGAGGAGGGGATGCGAGGGGCTGAGACAAAATTTCTTTTTTCAGCTTGTTGGGAGTTTCAGATTCAGATGACAAAGAAACAGAAGTAGTTCGTCGGCCGCGCCTCTTCTTGTGCCTTAAACCATTCAAAAACAAAGTCAGAAAACTCATAACGTTTTACTCTAATTTACTAACACAATATGCCGGTGATTAAAACGATATCTGTGCTTTTATTTAATTTGGGAAAAATACTATTAGATAACGTGAATCTAGGCGTTTTTTTCTCTTTCAATGTAAATATTTACTCGTTATCATCATCAACACTTTTAACAGACAAAATAGTGATAAGAGCCACTTACATTTCAGTCGACTCTCCATTTTTCTTGATACTTGTCCTATTGACCGTACATTCGTCCGGATTTCCGCACGCACACGCAATATTTGTCGTTCCAATAGCAGCCAAATCATGCGACTCGTGTTTAATCGTCAACTCGACATTCTTATCCACATTCGCGATCGTCACAATATACAAATGCAATACACCTTTCACAATCGAATGTCTCAGTTCGGCATTCGGTTTACACGATCTTCGGATAAATCGTGCGCTATTTCCGTATGTCCTCGTATCAACGCACACTTCAGTATTGTCTTTGTGCAACTTGTAGAAAAAGAGGAACGGACCGGGACGTTGAGCGTGCTGTCGCGTGTTGAAAGTACTTCCCGAATTACGATGTTGTGCCGATAACATGTATTTGCCGCGTAATTCAATCACCGGTGAATTTGGCGGTAGGTGCACGGTACTGATGAGATATTTCAATTCGGTCAAGGGTTGTGTGTGAACGCGACATTTATGGACTGAAGGATCGAACTGAATCGAAATATCGTTATGAGCGCCATTCACTCGAATGTTGCTTATGCGAGCGCGAAGCTCGGGCGAGTAGTGATTGGTGACAGCTTCTTCGTAGTTTTCAATCCACTGGCGGAGTTGTGGCAAATGGGTGGAGGCAACAGTGTCGTGGTTTTCATCGTCACTGTGGTTTTTCAGTTGTGCCTTCGTCTGCAAAAGATAAATAAACATTACATTAAAAAAATGTTTTTCAATTTTTTTAGTAAAAGTAGAATTCTAATAAAAACTCACTTTTCGCTTAATGACTTTTCTTTCCCTCTTTTTAATCTGCCTTCTTTGCACCACCTCCTTCGCCGAATCTCTCCTCTGTCTCGCTCCCTTCTGATGGCTATCACTCTTCCTCCTGTTCACCAAAGTCGGCCGTCCTTTCCCCACAATATTATTATTATATCCTAGACCCAAAAATCATTAAATATCATAAAAATACGTCACGAAACCACCCTCACCTGGATGCTCTCCATCTGACGTATCACTATCACTCAAGGTTTCCTTATGTTTGAACACCTCCTTTAATTTAGTATCTTTCCGCAACTTGGGATCGGTAAACTGTCTCTCTCGCAACCACTGCTGTTGAATCATCCGGGCCTTTTGCCTATCAATGTGCTTATGAGGATCGCAAACTTCGCAGAGGTACTCCTCGGGGACTTGTTTATTCTTAACAACGCATTGGACGTGTTGCCATACTTTACAGCGGTCGCATTCGATCATGTAGCCGTCATCGTGGATAAAACCACTAATATAAAAACAAAACAATAAAGCAAACAATGGAAAACAGTTAACCTACCAAATGCACCGTGTGACGTAATCACCGAACTGATCCTCGTTGTTGACGGCTTCTGCTTCCGGAGCGGTATCGGTCTCTTCGCCTTCAGTGTCATGTTTACGATCAGAGCCGTCACTAATATCAGAGGCGGCGTCGTCGTCTTGCAAACCGATGACCGAATTGTTATTACTTGCAACTGCCGATAATGTTGACAAACTAGTAGAAGATGAAATCGGATTGGAAGTTGATAAAGTCCTCCCTGCAATCATTGTAAACAATTATAATTATTATGATGTGTCTAAATTTCTTGAGGCTTACTTTTACCACTTCCGGGTGAATACATCGAATTACCGGAAACTCCATTTATTTGTGAAGGTGTGTTAGGTGTAGTTATTGACCTGTTGGGAGATTCAGGTGGAAGAGTAGCATTGTAATTATGATCGAGAAGCACCGCTTGGTAGATGAGGTCCAAACCAGATTTATTTCGTTCCTCCATTGGTCTGGCCTGATCAGTTGAGCTAAAAAAATTTAAGCAAAAAATAAATCAATAGTGTTGACTGAAACGTTTATATCCTATTGACAAAACAACGTAATTTTACTAATCGCTTTGGTCATTTAGTGATAAAAATAAGCAATTTAATAATTAATATACAAGCTGATCAATAGTTTATTACTTACAATGTTGGTTTCATTTCAGGCGAATAGTATGAGTTTTCGTATCTGGGAGGTAAGCTTTCATAACTTTTGTTCGAATAAGAACCCGTCATGTTCCCAGTTTTGTTGCTCAAAGTTTCGATTATTTCCGCTGTTAAAGCTTGAGTAAACGTCATTTGCTTTTCTTGTACAGGAGGTCCGTGGTAATTGTTATACAACTGATTAGCTTTCATACTTTTTAATTTATGAGGTTGTTTCAGTTTTTGAGCTTGTACGGCATGTTTTCCGATATAGTTTGGTTTATTGGCAATTTTTTGTGGCCTTTGAGGAGGTATAGTCCTCAAACCTGAACCAGTTCTTTGAATTTGACCTGGAACCCCTTTATGTGGTGGCAAAGTTTTGATACCTGGCTGTTTTCCATGTAAATAATTGTTAACAGGAGGAAGTGTCTTTATTTGACTTTTGTGTGTCGGATATGGAACTCTCTGCGGCTGATGTTTATTTATCATGTTAACAGGTTGCTTGTTCACTATATTATTAGGGGGTTTGCTTAAATATTTTGTTGTAGCACCGTTATTCGCCCCAAGTAATTTCTGACGAGAAACGTAACGTTGCGGTACGTTCAAAGGCTTATTCAAAAGGACATTACCGGCACCTTGTGACGTACCCGGCATTAAAACATTGCTGAGAATCTTTACTTTGTTTCTCTGACCGTTTGCTGTTTTTTGAACATCGCTAACATTAATAGCAGTAGTCAGAACCTAAAGTAACGTCAAAAAATTAACAAAATACAGACAATAAAAATTAAAACACTTACATTATTTGTAGGGAAAGTATTCGCAGTGAGTAATTTGTGACTTTGTGGTACGTCCTGAGCCACCGTAACATTTTCCGCACATGTCGTATTTTTAACAAACACATTATGTCCCCGATTTTCGATCAGAGCTGGCACCGAAGCTGCACCAGTGGAAACAACATTTGAACTATTAGGTATGACTTCAGGAGCACTTTTTTCAACACTCGGTGAAATTGTTTTCACAACGGTAACTGGTGTATTGATCAAAGTAATGGTTTGCGGTTTGCCAGTTGAATTTGCGACATTTAATGGAGTCGCTGAATTAACAACAGTAAATTGACCAGTAGCATTTGATGAAACTGCAGGTGTAACACATAAAGTTTTCACATTTCCCAAGGGAGTGTTCAACACAGTTATTAACGAAGCTTTCGATAAAGCAGCATTAGCTGTAGGAAGCTTTGCTATTGTCCTAACCGGCGTTGGTTGTGGAGGAGCTGATTCGATTTGTTCTGGTGCAGATTGCGACGCGTTTGGAGCCTCTTCAGAAATCTGAGGAGACGTCGAGGTGCTCACCTGAGTGGCGAGCACGGAGCTGGTTTCTAAAAACTCAAAAATTAATTTCTTGTAACTGAGAATAGAGCCACAATGTACCCAAACACACACTCATGGTTTTTTCTTGGGAATCACAAGTAAGTCCATCTTGATTTGATACCGGTACAAAGGCGGTGTCCCCGCCACCACCCTCCTCTGAAACTTCCGACTCCAGGTCACTGATAATACCTGAAACCCCATTTTGTATCACAAAATAGAAAAAACGCAAAGTAGGTTATGTTTACAAATGATGGCATTTTATTCACAAAACGAAATTCCCTAAATTTCTGACAGCTTTGATTATATTGGTCAAGTCGGAAGTAAAAAGATTGTTTGAGTGAGAAAAAATCGTTTCATTTTATTTTTTCTGGTTGAAATTGTTTGAAATAAAATTATGTGCATTGCTCCAAACAATGTCAAAAACATTTGTTCTTCGACGACGGCATGAATACGACGAGGTCGCGCATGAGCACAAGTGAAAGGGGCCCGAGAAAGGAGCAAAAGAACCGCATTGCATCGCATCTCGGAAATCTTTGGCTTATACTGGCGGCTTTCAAACTCATAATCGATTCAAACGTGGGCGTGAGCTTCTCCGTAATTGTTAATTTCAAATGAAATTAATTTCATACGATTTTTTTCCAATCACCAGCGGTAGCCATTTAAGAAAGTATTTGATTGACATCGACGACTGCGTCGTATATTACGTAACAGACGCGTTTTTTTTCTCAAAAATGCATTTCCTGTACACTTCAAAAAAATCAACTCATATTTCTAATTGAATTTATTTCGAAATTAGGGCAGTAGATTCCCGCTATAATAAAAATTCACGCAATAAAACCTTTATTTATTTAATCAGATAAATAGGAAGCCGCTACAAACCATCCTAAATATGTCGGACAAAATAGCAATTACTGCAATAATCAATTCAAATGACGGTAATGTTCAGCAAAATAGCGGCGAAAAAGAACAAATACAATTACGAGTGCCCTACATTGTATTTTTTTTTTGGCTAAATGAGTAGAATTTAAATCTAGAAAGAGAAGCGTATTTTTAGTACCAACTGACATATATGGCATAACACAAAATTGGAAAAAAATAAATAAATCTGGAGATTCTTATTATGCTTGTGAAAACCAAATTTTGAATTGGCCTCTCGAATGAAATTCCACAAATTTGAACTATTTCGAGTTTCTCGAAAAGATGCTCAAAACGAATCATAACGTTTTCGTCAACATAATGAATCGAAACCGGCAAAAATTTGCTTCATTTCGGTATAAAACGAAACTAGATGCTCTCCTGCTTGATAATTAGTTAGAAGCAAGGGTTAAAACTATGTAAAATTACCTTAAATTGCCATAAATCGTATACAAGTCCAAGACAGTCGATGTAAACACAAGCATTTTAACTTAAAAACAGCACGGCAGCAATTTTTTAAACGTCCACTGAAGTTTCAACACATCCCGCCGTCTTATTAGACAAACACAACGTTAATTCGCTATAATTTTATGTAGAATTTATCACAAATTCTGATACGCTTTTGAAAACAGACATCTAAACTAAATATGGCAGCCATATTCAATGCAAAACAAAGGAAATGTAGCTACGAAACCTACTTGATAATCTCGGACCCACATCCGCTTTCCGGCGTACGATTGCTGGCAGATGGCGCTTTATGGAAATTTTTCACGAAAATCCCTAACAAGAAAAAAAAACACTAAAATTTATTTATTTATTTCTAATTTTCTAGATTGTACAATAAATTTCTAACACGTTTTTGGTGGTTTTGCTGGGGGCCAGGCCCACTGATTCGCCGGAGCTTCCTTTAAGAGGGGTTCCCAAGGCTTCCATGTTAGCATTTTTCTAGCCAAAATTAATTCATTTTCAGCTTGAACTATAAGTTCCTCGACTTGGCCACAACCGATTTGTTTTTCAATGCCTTCAGCAGTTGTGTTTTGCTTTAGAGCCTGAGCCCTCTCATTAATAATTTCCTCAGTGTATTTCCTATAAGCTGCTTCTTGGGGCATTTTCTGCAAAGCTCGAAGAATTTTACCGTACAAAACACCTAAAGTGTGGTGAGGATTCTTCGCAACGGCTAGCCCGGTAAGCCCCGTAGTCTGCTTCAAAGCCCCAGACATAATTTTTGCTTGTTTTTACTTTTACGTAATATTTTTGGGCAAATGTGAGGTTATAACAACAGTAACAGTATTGCCAACTCTAAATTAGTTACATCGAAATTTAAACTTTTTCTCTTAAAAAATTGAATAATTGAATTTAATCACAGCTTATAACAATTTATTAAATAAAATGTAAGCAAAAACTTTGAATTTAAAATAATGCTTTAGTCCAAACTATTTTTACAAAATAGTTTGTAAAGAATAAAGCAAAAAAAGTTATTTCCGCAAATAATTATCTAAACTAAAATTTGTAGAAGCATTTTCTTTGGTAACCCAACTCTCCTCCCAGAAGTTTCTCAACCTGTCACCAACATTGGCACAAAACTCTCTAAAATCCCTCAGCAATTTTGTTTGGAAATTATTATCAACACCTTGATTCGTACGCCACCTCCTACTAACCATATGATTCCAAGACCATAGAAATCCCATCTAAATCAAATCATTAGTGACAAAAACAACCAAACGTTTTCAATCACCTTTCTGGAATTATCATAATCGTCCTTATTTTTCCCACTCACGTGTCTCGTAATATAGGCTTCATGTGGACTGGGAACAACATCCGCATGCACTGAAAACCTGCCAGTAGACCTAGGTTTACTCCCGACTGACGGAATCCGACTTCTAGGCTTTAACGCTGGTCTCGAAATCAAAATAAAAACAGTTCCGGTACAATGAACGTATTGGTGTTCACGAGAAGTAGCCTCAAGATTGACGGGCGGCTCCAACATACAATTAAAGAAACCAAATCTTTGTATAATCGCCTCTTGTAACAAAAATAGGCGTTCTAACGACGACCCGTCTTTAAATTCTTTAAAAATTGTGTCACGTTCCTCAAGGCATTTTATATTAAGGGGTACAAAAATAGGTCCTCTCAACGGGTCACTTTTATTAGAGTAGGGTAAAGCGAGGGGGTCGTGAGGGATCGGGATCATTTGTAAGCCACAAGTTTGAGCTTTTCTATGCCAACTGGACAGCTGTTGAAGCGAAATTAATAAATTTCATTTGAATTTTAAATTGATTACCAATTCGGCAACAATAGAACCTGATGATGTCAACCATTCGACAATTAATTCGTAGGCTTGGTCCGGCATAAAAGTCGTCTGGTAGCGGACGTGGCCCCACTCTACACGGTCACTTTTGCCCGCAACGTCTGTCTCCAAACGCATTCTTTTGTAAATCGTACCTGAAATATTTAGTAAAAACTGGGAAATCTAGTTGTCAAAAATGTTACTCTCGTTTTCCGCATATTCGACGTTAATATCCTCGCAAAGAAAATGGGGCACGCCGTATTTCCGGTCACAGTACGTATTAGGTACTTCCATTCCGTTAGCCACATCGGACAAGCCCCAATTTAAAGCTGATTTTACTTCGACTTCCAACCACTCATTCTCAAAAGTTTGCAAATCACCAGTCGGTTGAAACGAATCTTTATCATCTATCAATTATCACAATTAAAACTGCATAGTTGACAATAAAACTGACCTTTCTCAATAATATAAAACAGGAAGAAACCAAATAAAAATTGTTTGTTTGGATCACCTGAAGCATGTCGAATGAAACCTTCTAAATGTAAATTTTGCATTATCTAATAAACGAACAAATAAAAACAAATAACAATAGTGTTTTGTTTCGAACCTGAACGGCTCTGTCTAGAGTTGTGACGCCTTCCATGCGTAACATTAACCAATTCACAGCATCCGAAGCAATGAAAGTCAACGAAGGTAAATTCTGTTGAGCAGAAATAAACATAAGTCCGTTCAGAGGATTTTTCATTGCTTCGAGTATCTCCAAACTCGTTGCTGTGTTTTTGAGACAAGGACCGGCTTGAACAGCACTAAAAAAAACCTTAAATATATGAAACATTTTTTTTGTCGTACTTCTCATCGGGATAAGCATCATGTGATTGAGACTCAGAACTCGACTGCGATTCGGAGCTTTGCGAGGTCCGATTCCGTTCCATAACTTTTGAGCCCGACCTATTAAAAATTGATAAATCAAAATTGTGTCAACTTAATTAATAAATTAATGTGAGAGTGAAATTTACTACAAACCTAAATGAAGGTGCATAAAATCGCTCAGATGAGCGTGCGGTAGCGTTCTGAAAAGCAAGCAAAAACTATAACCTTCTACAAAACACAAAAATGAAGGAAATAAGATATACAAAAGATGGTTAGAACTACACATGCTCCAGGCCGCAAACCAGGCTGTAAGAAAACAAAAAAATCAGCAAACCTAGGACGCGGGCGGTCGGAGAGCCGGTTGCTGCCCAGGCGTTCCCGGAATGGTGAATTACAGTTGACGTTCTGGAAACATTCAAATCACAAATATTGATACAAAATTCAATATCTAAGCACTGGAGAACAATTCATTCATACTGAAATTTAACGTAAAACAAAGTTATAAACACAAAGACAAATGTTATAATTTTTAAGTTAGTTTTTATTATTTTTATACTGCCTTTCAGCATCAATAATTTTTCTTTAGATTTTGTATTGTAACTTGAAGGAGTAAAATATCTGTCTTTGAATAAATAGTTCACCAGCTGTGATTCATTCTATCAAGTGTCAATGTTATAGAATAGCAAATTAAAAATAAGCTAAAAGTGTGAAAAATGCGAAAAGTTTTGTTACTAATACGTCAGATTTTGAAGAATAAAAAGCGAATTTTAGACTATTGTTTTCCTTGTTCGAAAAGATTTACAAAACAAGTGAGTATTACGTGAGCGGAAAATCCGCATACGTAATGAGACTTCATTAATATTACTCTACTAACAAAACTAATTTATTGGTACTACGACTAAAACAATTTTAAAAAGCTTATAAAAACTTCATTTAGCACACCTTTAATTCAAATTTCCTGTTTTACTTAATTACTGTTGAAGTCCCGTTACCACAATATCAGTAATTAATATCAAAAAAATATTGCGTTAACACCTCAACAGTGAGAACTTAAAAAAGCAATCTCTTGTTAATTGCGTTCTTATACCTGTGAGAAATTGCTCATACTGTTACGTCTGGGTTGAACCAAAGGCGCGTTGTTTATAACACTCAGTGACTTCTACAACATGCAAATAAAAACAAAGCTTTAAACATGCAAGTAAGTAACTAAAAATAAATTTATTAAAAAATTAGTGAGTGGGCAAGAGGCGGTAAGAATCTCAAAACAAACCCTTGTTTTCTTCGACGGCAAAGTCCTTTTTATTTTATTTACGGCCGTTTCAATAAATTTCAATAATCCATCGACCATTTGTTGATGGTCAGAAGGTGTGGCAGCTGTGTAAATATCACAGTGTTCGGCACCGTCAATTATTTTTTTATTGGCCGAGTTGTTTAAAGGAAGTAAGTAGACACGAAATCTCCAATATTTTAAAGCATCAACTAGGGCGAATTCAGTGTCGCCCCCTGTGCACACATAATGGTCCAAGTAATTCCAATTAAAATGTTCCAGTTTTTCGGTGGTGAAAGTCGCGTAAGACTCTTCATAAGTGTCGTGATGGGGGGCGTGGAATCTGTACCGATATTGGTAATTAAATCCAGGATACGGGTGTCTGAAACCCACGATTACTCACTAGATGACAAAATCAATTACAAACCTGGGTCTGTATCTGGTGACAGAAATAGTATTTCCCGACAGTGAAATTTTATGAAAAAGTCGACCAATCGAGAGATAATACGATTCGTCGTTTTCGGTCACACTTATTCGAGTTACTGGGCCCCTCATTTTCGGGTTCAGGGCATTAATGCTGTTTATTTTATCAGCGTTGTTGGCCATTAATATCAATTGGAAACCTTGCGCCAAACGCTGAGAAATCAACTCTTTGAAAACTTCAACTGTAGTTAGAGGTCTTTTGTAGGTGGGGCGTTGTTGAGCAAAATCTGCATTCACACTATCGGGTAGTAAACTGTACAAAGACACTACGTAGTCGATCTGAAGGGCCCTCTTATCGGGAAAATAATCGGTGGTGATTGGTAGACAGGCCGGTATTGTTAGCGACTTCCAATCCACTCCTAAATCAGAATTATGTTAAAAGTGATTTTTTGAGAATATAAAGTGTATACATGGTGTTAAGGACCAAACACACGTATAATCTCGTTAAAACGCAAGCACACAAAAACAAAAAAAACAGTGAGTGTTAGCACAAAGCCAAACTACAACCTACTAGAGTGTTAGACACGAATTAGTCACATAACGTCGACTACAAGGGGTAAAAATGAAGGGAGTGATGAGAGGTGCCAAACAATGGATTTTTATAGAGGGTTAATCTACTGTGTAAATTTTAATCGCCTTTGGTACACTATAAAAATTCATTGCGTCGAGACAATTGCGTTTCTGACAAAAGCACACGCACTACGCAATAAATTCCCAAATAAAAAGCAAATATAATAAACAGGCTACCAAAGAACTGAATTAAAAATTCTCTGTAAACAAATCTAGTTCATAAGATACTTAGGTAATATATGGCTCAAACCTATAAGGACATCATTGACTGCTTATTCCGACGAATCCCCAGGACGACCATGGAACAGAAACGAAGTGAATTCACGTATTCGGGCGCCAATTCCTAAAAGGGCTAGGACTGGGATTGGGAAGCTTGAGGCTCCCGACGTCACAATAAAAATGAAAGTGACATTACAATGAATGATTTTTCTTCAGAATTCGTTAAAATGTTCGTAATTTAGTGATTAGGATCAAACCAAATGAGAATTTTGCAAAAGCACGATTTCAATGGCCAATAATTTGTTATAAAGTATTACAAAAAAAACAACCAAAACATTAATTTTTCTCATTTTCATTTTAGTTTCAGAGGATACCTGTCGTTAAAGCCGGCGTCCATTCTTGCTCACCGGTCGCCCCCCACAACAGTGTCAGACTTTTAGAAGGGTTTTTGGGGGCGCTAGCCACACTGTGACTATTACTCTGCGAATTTGGTCTTTTCTTACAATCTGAAAAACAACATTACACACCACAAAATCGAAAATTTTAAAATTACATTCGTGTAAAGCTGCAGTGGCGCAAAATGACTTTGCCAATTGTGTACTCCCGGACGAAACCATGCGATCTAACTTTGGATTATTGCCATCACATTCGGGGTTGACTGGCTCAGATTGAGTCGGAATTGCTTGGTAGTGGTGTTGTTGAATCAAAACTCCCGTCGGTCCTTTTGTCAAAAATCAATTTTAATAAAAAACGAAACGACAAAATCTCACCTTTAGGAAAAATGTGTGTCCATCGTCTACGATTTGAAGTTAGCTTAATTGTAACATGTGAGGGGTCAAATGGGTTAATCAAAGCGCGGGACTCCAAAGGGGGTGAGCCTTCAGAGCCCACCACCATTCGTACCGGCGGTGATAATTCCTTATCTGGATTAAAACGAGTCAAAAAGGCGTAAAATATTTTTTTTTAGTTCACCATCGGCGTGTGGTGAGACAAGGGGGCTTGTGGCTGCAGGAGGAATTGCAATCGGCTCGGACCGGGCGTTGGAGTTAATCCTGTGGGGCAGATCAGGGTCGGACAATTTGCGTCTTTGACCTTTGATTAATTCATGCGAGTCTAATAAACTACCAGAGCTTCGCTTGTAACGCGGGATAACTTTATGGTGTATTGTACTGAAAATTTTTATTAAAACAAATTTCAACCTTCGACAGAACAAAACCTAGTCTCGTGAACTGCATGCACTGGCGGTAACTGGAAAATCTGTGCATCGTAAGCGTCATAATCAAAAAACGAATTGTGAATGTAATCATCTTGAGGTACAAGTTTCTTAGGCGAATCCTTTTTCACTTCTTCTGCGGGCAAAGGGGGCGGTAGCTTAATCCGTGGAATAAAATTCGAATACGCAATTTTTTTGTTAGTTGAATAAAACGATAAATTTATCCAATGAGGCATTGAATAGTCGTCAGGTACGTTCATATGAGTGTCTTTATTATGAAACTGAAATTAAATTTGCTATAACTGTGAAGTAAAATCGATAATTTTTACTTTTAGGAGGGGAACTGCGTGCAGTGGTTGTTCCCCAACACACACCAAGTCGCTCCCAACACCGTTATCGATAATTCGTTGTTTTGTTATATTGGTCAACTCGCGATCAACTTCAAAAACGCCAACTCCAGGTGTAACCACAACACTGAGTTGCCCAGTCCTGTCAAAACTTCGATCCAAATAATGTTTCTCAAATACTGGAAAATTACAAATTTAAATTAAAAATCTTAATCAGTGACAATAAATACCATTCAAGGACATGTTTAGCACCTCTAGGAAATTTCCTTGCGCTGCTGTACTATTCGTTGCAGCTGGAATATCCAGCCCTGGCCTTTTGTGATACTCAAGTACGATTTTCAAATATTCGGAAAAAATTCGCCTCAACTGGACCAAAATCCCGCTCCAGTCGTCATAACGTTCGTTCTGGACTGCAACTCTATAAAAATCTTCATAGTATCGCCCTTTATAATCCTTCTGGAGACATTCTCGCATGTGCAGAGGGAACGCCTCCAAATTACTAGCTTCGTAAAACGTCCGTGAAAACAAAACAATTGTCACTTCGTGATTGCTTCCGTTCTTCTTCCATTTCATGAATAAGTCAGCCAAAAAACCATTAACAGCTTTTTCAAAATACAAGTCACCGTAAATATCAAAATCCCACATTTCTGACGACATTTGTAAAAATAGATAAACCATAGATGTGGATGAGCGAAAAACAACTTTTGTGTCTTCGGTGATAACCCCACATGCCACTCTATCACCCATTGACCACATTTCATAAACTTGGCAGCGTACAGCGCCCCCACAAAACTCAATATTCTTTTTGATGTACACACAAGTGTTGATGAGACTGTTTTTCAAGCGCCACATCTCAGACCGGCCCATATACTGGTCTTTAAAAGTCAGTTCAATCGAGTCTAATGCTATATCAGGGGGGTCAACAATACGAATTATCACATTTTTGTAAGCTTGTAAACCAAAAGCTTGAGCTATGCTTTGCTCAACACTGATTGTATCTTAAATAAAAAATTGTAACATGAAAAAAAAACTTGGGTCATATTCACCTTTTTGTAAGGCATTTTGTTGGGTCGAATCATCAGGAAATGTTTTAATTTGAAGCAACAACCTTGGATATTCCTCTTCAGGCTCACTTTTCTTCTTACTTCGTGGGTTGTCATCGTCTGGTGGTGGATGGTAAATCTCCACAATATCCCCCAAATTAGCACCCAGATAATCCTTAGGATTGATAATTAAATCCTCAGCTGGAAAAAAATAACTAACCTTCACAGATTCGAAATTTATTCAGTTCATACCACTGAAATTCTTCTGGTGGACGATAAGACGAAACAATTTCATGATGTTATTATTTGCTTCTATTTTTATAAACTAATCACTAATGAACTTTGCATTGTATTATTTTTCATCGCACAGCGAACAAAAAAGTGACATGGATGTAAAGTTAAGAATTCTCGCTAACATAACTCACTAATTATGTTAAATACTATTATAATAACGTTTAATAGCATTAAAAATGATAATTTATGTTTGACATTCACACCATCAATGTCACTTTTATAGGTTAGAAAATAAACAAGCAACAAGTTACCATAATCACCAACCTTACAACAGAATAAAAATAAAAACGGGACTAGACATGCTGTGCTAAAAATTAATGGAATATTAAAGAACGGTTGGTAGCAATTTTAAATTGGCCAATGAATTAATTTTTTGAGTTTGTGCTTGGAAAGGATATTTTGGCCAAAGCCAGGTAAGAATCTCTCTTATTCTATGGTAAGAATCGATCAAACTTTGATTAAAAACTTGTAAAAAATGCTGCGAAAAATTCCGAAACATGTAACTATTGTTTTAAACGAAACTGAAACCATTTTCTTATTAGAGCTTCCAAGTTCTGTTGTTCCTAGAGAAACTGATGAAGGCGAAACTGCCGAAATGGACAATCGGCTTTACGAATATTTAACAAAAGGTAAAGGCCGTAATCGTAAACTTGCAACAATTGGGGTACAGACGAGACCTATTTTAATGAAAACGCGAAGTACTGAACCTGTGCAATACAAATTTAAGGATAATTCAACATTTGCATCAAATTGGGAGATGTATGATACTTACAATGAGAGTTGTGTTGATTTGACTGAAAAAAATGTTGATTTCGAGGAAACAAATGATCACAAATTAATTGAAGACGTGTCCTTGGACGAATTAAGAAAGAGTAAAGAGACCAAAGAGCTGGAGAAGTTGTCGGTGAATAAAAACTACTTTGACGCCGTTCTCGTAATTGAACGTCTTTTGGCCAATAATTGTTACAATAACGAGCAGAAGAAATTCAAAGGATTGGTGGACGAAGGCCAGGAGATTCGATTTGATTACAAACTGGATTTACTTTGGACTTTTGCAAACGAGGATACGAAAAATAAGTGCGTCACGGGAATATCATTCAATTCTTTCACTGAAGATATCGTAGCCGTGGGCTATGGAAAATATTACTTTATTGACCGCAGAAAAACAGGGGTTGTGATGGTGTGGAATATAAAAAATCCCAAACAGCCCGAACGCGAGTACTACTTCAAACATCCAGTTACATCTCTGTCTTTTTCAAACAAAGACCCGAACTACCTTGCTGTTGGTTTTTACAACGGAGATCTTCTTATAATAGATATAAGTAAAAGAGACTTTGAAATGGTAGGGGAGGACTCTTCTACATCATTTAAACCGGCATGGAACCTGCTATGGCTTGAGCAAAACGAGAAAGAATTTCTACTTGTTTGTTTCGGAGATGGGCGAATTTGCAAGTATTTTGTAACTCAAGCAAAACTCGAATGTGTACAAATTATGAGAACGGATAAAGTCGAGGGGAAATTGAAAGGGTTATCAGCGTTGAGGTTGTTTGAAGGGAACCAGATTTCATCGTCTAGGTATGCAGGCGCCCTATGTCTAAGTATGTATAAGCCGGACCCTTCATTTTACCTCGTGGGCACGGACGAAGGAGTCATACATAAATGTGCAGCAAGTTATTGTACCCAACATATGGACATGTTCAAAGCACATGAAGGGTCAATTCACACCATTAAATTTTCACCATTTGTTGAAAAAGTATTTGCGACTTGTGGTGACGATTTCCAGGAGTGTTTATGGATTGAGGGTAATTTTTCACTTAACTTGACTAAGATTTAGGTTGGTTTTTAGGGATTAGTGAACCATTGATTGTTTCGCGATATTGCATGGAACCGGTTCTTGATATCGACTGGAGTCCTTCCCATTCGACCATTATGGCAAGCCTTCGAGGCATGAACATTTTCCTGTGGGACTTGCAACGGAAAATCTATTTACCCCAATCCCAAACAAAGTCACCCACAAATGCAGTAAACACAGTTTGCAAGTTTAGTGCTTGCGGCAAGTGTTTGGTGGTCGGAGACATTGATGGCAATGTTCACACATTTGCTGTGAGTGGACTTCCATTTCCGGCGTTTTTCCAAGAAAATCTCTTCTTCAACTCGATTAAAAACATCCTTCAAACTAACACCGATCTAAGCCGCAAACTTGAAAAGTTGGCAAATTGACAAGTTATCAGTGTCAAAATTCATATCCTCCTTCATGGCTTCCTCCCCTCGAACTGGCCGTTCAGTCACCAAATCTAGCGTCTCATACGATGCTGGTTTTCAAAGCAGTCTCCGAAAATTGAAAGGCAAAGACCGAGAATCCCTCAGACCCAAAACAATCCTTACTGCTCCTAAATACCAAGTCGTTCCTGTAATTTTCGATGGACAGGATGTTAGTCCCATATCACTTAATCCCTACGTATTCGAAGGGGGGCGAGAACGCCAGATTAGTATCATGGATAACTTGACCAAAGACAGTTTTATGCTACATCACCACTCGCTAAGTCGAGTTGAATCCCAAAAATTTCAAACCAACATCTTGCTTCAGAAACAAGAAGTCGAAACTGCAACTTACACACATCGGAGTATAGTAACTTCTGCTTATTTTGGCGATGAAATTTTATTGCCGGATGTTAGTATAAGAAGTAAATCGGAGTTTTCGCAAGAAATCGTGTATGATGAAGGATCGGTTGATGGGAGACCTGAACTCCCAATTCCGGAACATATAAGTCTGATACTCTCCGAAACTGAGACTATTTTCTTATTAGATTTGCCAAGTTGTACCGTTTCAAAGGCCAGTGAGGAAGCTAACGACGTTGAAGAAGACAACAAATTGTACGACTTTCTTACAAAAGGAAAAGGGCGCAATCGGAAAGTCATAACAGTAGGAATACAAACTGTCCCAGTTTTGAAGAAAGCAAGGGACACAGAAACGAAAAAAATGAGGTTTAGGAACACTTCGACTTATGTTTCTGCTTGGGAGATGTACGATACGTTTCAAGAGTTGAATCTTGACTCATTTGCAGACGACGACGACGTGTTGAGTGATGAAGAAATGGGGAATTTGATTGATGATGACCATAGGTTAAACGATGAAGCCTCTTTAGAGAGTTATCGGATGTCATCTGAAGAAAAACAGTTGAATAAAATTGTTAAAAGCAAAGCATTTCTTGATGCTCTTATCGTAATTGAAAGAATCCTAGGGAATAATTGTTATAACTCCCAACAAAAACGATACAAAGGCCTTTCAGAACCGGACGTTTTCCGTGAAAATATCGAGTACAAATACAGACTGGAACTTCTGTGGACTTATTCCAATGACGAAACCAACGCCAGATGTGTCACCGGAGTAGCCTTCAATTCTTTTAATGAAGATATAGTGGCTGTAGCATACGGGAAATACTTCTACACTGATAGGAGTTCAAGCGGAATGGTGATGATTTGGAATATCAAAAATCCACAACAGCCAGAACGGCAATACGATTTTGAAACTCCAGTAACATCACTTGCGTTTTCTAAAGTGAACCCGAATTTACTGGCTGTTGGGTTTTACAACGGCGATTTGAAAATCCTAGATGTTAGTAAAAGGGAAATTTCAGCGATTAGGGAAGATGACTCGTTTTTTGAACCTGTTTGGAGCATAATTTGGTTCCAACAAGGCGGTGATGAAGATCTGATGGTTAGTTTCGGGGACGGGCGTGTTTGTCGCTACCAAATAACTACAGCTCGTGATTTGAAACGGACTCAGATTATGATAACAGCAGCGGCGGAAGGGAAATTAAAAGGGATCAAGTATTTAAAAAAATGTGAAGGGAAGAACATTTCTATCTCAGGATATGACCAAGCGAGATGCTTAGCGATGCATCCGTGTGACCCTTTTACTTATTTTGTCGGAACGAGTGAAGGAGTGGTTCATAAATGTTCCACTAATTACTACAACGAACACATGGACTTATTCAAAGCCCATGATGGTACTATCCACACAATACGGTTCTCCCCCTTTGCTAACAAACTATACTACACTTGTGGTGATGATTTTAGGGCACGTCTTTGGGCAGACGGTAACTAAGATTTTATGTGACCCTTTTCGTCACCAACCACTTACAGGTATTTCAGAATGTTTGGTAACTTCAGAACCATCTATGTTACCAGTTCTTGACGTTGATTGGAGTCCGGAACATCCCACAGTCATTGCAACAATCCGTGGTCCCGATATTCTAATATGGGACCTTCAAAGGAAAATGCATCAATCACAATCTATCAAAAAAACGCCCTCTAATATTTTTAATACTGTCTGCAGATTTACACCCAATGGTCGTAGTTTAATGGTCGGCGATATGAAAGGAAATGTCCATGTTTATTCTCTGGAAGATATGCCCATACCACCGTTTTTCCCCGAAAATCTTATCTCACAAAGCTTGAAAAAGCTCTTGGTTACGAAGCCAGATTTGATGAAAAAGTTGCGCAAGTTGGGGCCTTTGAAGTTTGACGATAAACAGTTTTCAAAATATTTTAATTAATTTATAAGATTAATTGTGTATATTTTGAAGAAATAAATTTTTATTTTATTTGAATTTGTTTTTTGAAATCCACTTTTTTTAAATATGGTCCACTGTATTATTCGGCTATCTGGACACATGTAAAGTAAATTATTTAGTTAATAGTTTTAGGAAACTAGAATTTACTAGTTTTGATTTAGCTAAAACCAATTTGGAGTGATAAGTTATTGCAAGGCTGTTTGAACGGTTACAAAAGAAATTAGATTCTCAAAAATTTCCACGGGAAAAATAGGTCGATCTAGTGTTTTCGTCGTAATAGGTTGGTACCGCAGTGACATTGTTTATCAAAAATTGTATTCGCCCTGTCACCTGATAGAAGTGTTTTTCGCTTAAAAATAACTCGACAAAACTCTGTATGACAATATTGATTTCTTAAATCGCATCACAGAAATACATTCACAAGGATACTATGTGAAGGTTATAAAAGTGAATTATTAATGCACCACGTCAGTATCTAACATGTTGACAACATTTGACATTTATCTTTTCCTAGATGGTCTAGAAGTGAGCGAAATTGTATAAAATCCAGTTAAGATGTCTTCAAATACCACAGAGAATGCCAAGCATTCTGCGGAACATCCCGATGGTGACGGTGCAGGTGCCACAGAAGAGGAAAAAAAAGATGATCGCATGTTTGAGTGCAACATTTGTCTCGACACTGCCAGAGACGCTGTTGTCAGCATGTGTGGACACTTGTTTTGGTAATTATATCATTGCGCCCCACTGTGCCCTAATGTGTGAAATTTTCAGCTGGCCGTGTCTTCACCAGTGGCTAGAGACGAGACCCAATAGGCAAGTGTGTCCAGTATGTAAAGCGGCAATCAGCAAGGAAAAAGTAATCCCCCTGTATGGTAGAGGTAGTACCAAACAAGAAGATCCACGCGAAAAAGTTCCTCCACGACCAGCAGGTCAGCGTACAGAGCCTGAGCCCGGGTCAACCTTTCCAGGATTTGGGTTTGGGGGTGATAACGGATTTCATATGTCTTTCGGTATAGGTGCTTTCCCCTTCGGTTTTTTCACTTCAACATTTAACTTTGGGGACGCCAGGCCAAGTCCCGCTCCCAGAGGTACGCAACAACACATGGAAGAACAATTCTTATCTAAACTGTTTCTATGGCTGGCTGTGCTGTTTATTGCATGGCTGATTTTGGCATAAATATATGTATAATTATTGGAACGGTGGCTTTATGTAAAGGAGGTTAGGGCTTTTATATCAGCACAGTACAAAATCAGACAGTTCCCATTCCAGGCTGTTTTTATGAAACAAAACATGTGTATATAATAAAAATTTTAATGTAAAGTGGTGATACTCCTTATAGTCTCTTACTTTTAATTAAAGAGTGTTATTTTAGTGAAGTAAATTTTAGTTCATAATTTGTGTAAATTATCTATCTTATTCTGAGGGTTTAGTTTTTAAATACAAATTAACATTTCCTTAAAAGATTTTCATTTTATTTACAATTCCTTATCCTTAATATTAAAACCTTTGCTTTTTAGTAGATTGTTACATTCTTGACGACTAAATTTCTCTAGTGAGTGTTGTTCGACGATTTCATCAGCGTCGTTTAAAAATAAGAGCACTGGAGGAGCCCCTTGAATTTTCTTAAACTCTGTATTGTCGTATTTTGGAAGGTCCTCGTAAATAAACGCTTTTACTTCTGGCAATCTGTTCAGTTTACAACTCGGACAGCTCTAAAATAACATAAACACTATAAATATAAAATTAATTTTGGAAAACAAAAAGTGAGGTTATGTCAAAACTGAAAAAAATATTCTATTTTTGAATATTTACAATCAAGTTTCTGCTTATATTTACGTTAAGCGTAAATATTGTGCAATGTAATCACCAATGTGATAACGAATTTCGATGGTTTAAGTGATTTTAGTTATTATGCAACTGTGGCACTTACTTCGACCCTGGCCCTTGCAATTTTAGTATTTGCAGCTTCTGCATTTGCTAATGCCAAAAAGGCAATACACGAAATAAGTAGAGAAGCACAAATCTTCATTTTCTGCTCTTTATCACAAATCGCTTCGACCGGTAGTAAACGAGTGTTGAACTAGAAAGATGACCAACATACAATAGAAACAACAATAATGATCATGTTTTTTAAACAAATTGTAGGTTTTTTGCCAACACACATACCAATTAAGGATGTTCCTTAGGAAAACAATGATTACCAGACTGAAATTTCATACGATTCGTAATCTTATTCTTATCAATTTATTATTTAAATTATGATATAGATGAACTTATTACTAAAAACTAAGACATTTTTACAAAGATTAATATCTAGGTATTCATTTATTGTTTAATTTGTTATTAAATTATTTTATAATAATATGTTTTCCTTTTTTTTTCACTTCAAAAAGACAATAACTTATTTTCTTGTTGTTTTTCTAAGTTTATTGATAAGAAAAAAGTTTGTATTTAAAATAAACTCAATATGCTTTTAGCAGGTATTTTGAAGTAAATAAAAGATTATCACAAAAATGTATTCTGATTACATGGCCGGTCATTTAATTTCTTTGTAAATTCTTAAAGCTTGTACATTTTCCTTCATAACAAACGAGTCCATTTCCACATCGTGTCGTTGATGGGGGAACCCCTTGAAGAACAATGTCGTTACAGGCTTCATTCTCACCTACAAATGTTTTGTTCACTTTGTATTAATTCAATAATTTAATAATTTTTACCGAGAATTGTGTAGCATACGTTGCAACAGCTGCAAAATCCCCCCGGTTGTATTTCCTTATTTTGTCCCTTGCACCCTTGGACTTCCTTACATTGAACGGAGGCACAAATTCCGGGGGTGCACACAATACAGTTGGCAGTTTTAACGTAAAAAATAAAAAGCAAAACTGGGATGAATAAATTGCGATACATTTCGCGTGTTAAAAAATATGTTTTCTCTAATAATTGTTTTCCCACAATTTAACAACAAACGCGAGCGCTGATTATAAACAACAGTAAGCAGTTTAATCAGGAGCTGTATTTATTAACACAATAGCACAAACACAATCACGTGACCTCGATGCTAGGTTTAGAAAATATACAGTGTGTTATTGTTGAAAGATATGAATAAATGTACATTTTAACATTTCCAAATTTTATTCTGTTTTTCCTTCATTTTTGTTTTTTAGAAGAAAAATTAAACATAAATTTTAATGAAAAGTACCCGTCTTCAACAGACATTTCCGAGAAAAACTCAAAATTATTTGAGACTATACAAACTTCGTGTTTGTTTGGTTTCAGAGTTTTTGAATTAAAACATCCAAAATTTATTTTTTAAATGTTTTATAAAGCTAGAGGTTTTTTGCAACGGAACGGAAAATTATTTTTTTAATGTTTTGGAACTTTGTTTTCTAACAAAATATTTACTCGACAAGTTATTTATTTAAAATTATCTTTTATGTTTACAGTCTTATTCTTTTGAATGTGACTTTATTTCTTTTATATTATAGGTAGATTTTAAAGTAACTTAAATTTGAATACAAGAGTATTACTTAGAACTCGTATAAATACATATTTGAAAGTACTTTTACAGAGGAAAATTGAAAAAAACTTCTTCCTATTTTTTTTATCATCGTAAGAGGTAGGCGCGGATGCTATTTGTAGAATTCTCGTAACCATTACACATGTCCTTGACCAAAACAATTAACCAATAATTTTGCGATAATATCGTCAATGTTTCGTAACGAAGTTAAATAAATATTAAAAAAATAAGACATACTAACTACACTCTTTTCGAAAGTAATTATTATTTTTTAATAAAAAATAACTCCCTAAACATTAGTTTTGTTAAA